TTTTTTTTTTCCAAAGTATTATGTGGGTACAAATGTTTTTGATCACACGGATCACTTTGGTAATGATTGAGTCAGGCTTAAAAGTGTACCCATCACTGAGATAGTGTTCATTGCAGCCGTTAGGTGGGTTTTAGCCCATCCCCTTCTCCTCCACCCTGCTTGATTTTCATTGAGGTTTACTGCCCTCAATGCACATGTTTGCTCATTAGTTAGTTCCAATTAAATAGTAAGTACATATGGTATTTGTTTTTCCATTCTTTAGATACTTCACTTAGGATAATGGTCTCCAATTCCATCCATATTGTTATGAAAGGCATTAAGTCATCCTTCTTCATGGCTGAGTAGTGTTCCTTGGTATACATATACCACATTTTGTTAATCCACTCATGAATTGATGGGGATTTGGATTGATTACACATCTTTGCAGTTGTATATTGTACTGCAGTAAACATTTGAGCGCAGTTATGTTTTTGATGAAATAACTTCTTTTTCTTTGGGTAAATACCCAGTATTGGGATTACTGGATCAAATAAGTGGTAGGTTGATTTTTAGTTCTTTGAGGAATCTCCATACTGTTTTCCATAGAGGTTGCATCAATACTAATTTTCAGCCTCACCAACAGTGTATAAGCATTCCTTTCTCTCTGCATTCACACCAGCACCTATGGTTTTTGGACTTTTTAATAAAAGCCATTCTGACTAGGGTAAGGTGATATCTCATTGTGGTTTTAATTTGCATTTAATTTCCCTGCTGATTAGTGACATTGAGCATTTTTCATACGTTTATTGGCCATTTGTCTATCTCCTTTTGAGAAGCTTCTGTTCATATCTTTGGCCCACTTTTTAATGGGGTTGTTTGATTTTTTTTTTTCCTTGCTGATTTGCTTGAATTCTTTGTAGATTCTGGTTACTAGTCCTTTATCGGATGTATAGCTTCAAAATATTTTCTCCCATTCTGTAGGTTGTCTGTTTGCTCTGTTAATTATTTCCTTGGATGTACAGAACCTTTTTAATTTAGTTAAGTCCCATTTATTTATTTTTGTTGTTGCTCTGCATGCTATTGGGGTCTTCTTCATAAATTCTTTGCCTAGGCTGATATCTAGTAGAAGAGGTTTTTCAACAGTTTCTTCTAGAATTCTTATGGTTTCATGTCTTACATTTAAGTCTTTTATTCATTCTGAATTAACTTTTGTGAGTGGTAAGAGATATATGGATTCTGTTTTTATTCTTCTGCATGTAGCTAACCAGTTGTCCCAGCACCATTTATTGAATAGGGATTCTCTTCCCCAGTGTATGTTGTTGTCTGCTTTGTCAAAGATCAGTTTGCTGTATGTGGATGGTTTTATGTCTGGGTTTTCTGTTCTGTTCCATTGTTCTGTCTCTATTTTTGTGCCATACCCGTGCTGTTTTGGTTATAGTGGCCTTGTAGTATAGTTTGAAGTCTGATAATATGATGCCTACCAGTTTGTTTCTTTTGCTTAAGATTGCTTTGGCTATTCGAGCTCTTTTCTGGTTCTAAACGAAGCATAGAATTATTTTTTCTGTATCTGTGAAATATGATGTTGGTATTTTGATGGGGATTGCATTGAATCTGTAAATCACTTTGGGTAGTATGGGTATTTTAACAATGTTAATTTTGCTGATCTACAAGCATGATATATTTTTCCATTTGTTTGTATCATTGGTGATTTCTTTCTTCTATTCTGTAGTTCTCTTTGTAGAGATTGTGCACCTTGGTTAAGTATATTTCTAGGTATTTTATTTTCTTTGTAGCTATTGTGGATGGCATTGAGTCTTTGATTTGACTCTCAGTTTGATTGTCATTGGTATATAGAAATGCTACTGATTTGTATACACTGATTTTTTTGGGGGGGTGGGGGAGGAAAAAGTCTTGCTCTGTTGCCCAGCTAGAGTGCTATGACATCAGCCTAGCTCACAGCAATCTCAAACTCCTGGGCTCAAGCAATCCTCCTGCTTCAGCCTCCCAAGTAGCTGGGACTATAGGCACGTGCTACCGTGCCCAGCTAATTTTTCTGTTTTTAGTTTGACTGGCTAATTTATTTTTATTTTTAGTAGAGATGAGGTCTTGCTCTTGTTCAGGCTGGTCTTGAATTCTGAGCTCAAGCAATCCTCCTGCTTCAGCCTCCCAAGTAGCTGGGACTATAGGCACGTGCTACCGTGCCCAGCTAATTTTTCTGTTTTTAGTAGAGACAGGGTCTCGCTGTTGCTCAGGCTGGTCTCTAACTCCTGACTTCGATCAATTCTACCACTTTGGCCTCCCAAAGTGCTAGGATTACAGGTGTGAGCCACTGTGCCCAGCCTGTGTACATTGATTTTGTAACCCGAGACTTTGCTGAATTTATCAGTTCCAGGAGTCTCTTGGTGGAATCTTTGGGGTTTGCTAGATATAAGATTATATCATCTACAGGAAATGATAGTGTGATCTCCTCTTTTCCAATTTGGATACCCTTAATTTCTTTCTGTTGCCTGATTGCTCTGGCTAGGACTTCCAGCACTATGTTGAATAGAAATGGTGACAGTGGGCATCCGTGTCTTGTTCTAGTTCTTAGTGGCAATGTTTTCAACTTTTTCCCATTCAGTATGATGCTGGCTGTGGGTTTGTCATATATGGCTTTTATAATTTTGAGATATGTTTCTTCTATGCCTCGTTTGTTGAGGGTTTTCGTCATGAAAGGGTGCTGAATTTTGTCAAATGCTTTTGCTACATCTATTGAGATGATCAAATGATCTTTGTTTTTAAATCTGTTGATGTAATGAATCACATTTACTGATTTACATATATTGAACCATCCTTGCATTCCTAGGATGAAGTCCACTTGGTCATGGTTGAGTTATTTTTTTTGATGTGCTGTTGAATTTAGTTAGTATTTTATTGAAAATTTTTACACTTTTTTTTTAAGAGACAGGGTCTTGCTCCGTTGCCCAGGCTGGAGTGCAGTGGGACAATCATAGCTCACTGTAACCTTGAACTCCTAAGCTCATGTGATCCTCCTGCCTCAGCTTCCCAAGTAGCTGGAACTACAGGTGCCTGCCATTACACCCAGCTAATTTTTTAAAAGTTTTGTAGAGAGAAGTTCTCACTACCTGTTCAGGTTGGTCTCTAACTCCTAGTCTCAAGCGATCCTGCTGCCTCAGTCTCCCAAAGCCCTGGGATTACAGGTGTGAGTCACAGTGCTCCACCTATAATCCATTTATATAGAAAAAACAGTCACATTGTACTTAAGTAACAATCAATAGATATAATTCACTTGGCATTTAACATGTTCCAGGGATATGCTAACTTCTTCACCAGAATTACCATATTTGGTCCTCACAGTAGCTCTGTGAAATATGTACTGGTATTATCCCTAGTTTGCAAATTGGGAAACCAGATCAAGATGGATTTAAGAGACTCATTCAGGTTCTCAGCGGTCACTCACAAATTTCAGATCTCACAAGCCTAACTGGAGAGGTCTCTCTCTTATCTACCTCACTATCATATCTCTTACACATGGTACTAGAAATATATAGCAGACCACTTTACAACATATACCTAGCATCAGAACATCAACAGAGCTCATACTAAGACTCAAATGAAAAGCAATTATTATGTGCAGTTATATTTAGTGTTAGTAAATTGCCCCATGATATTACTATACTTGCACTCTGGACTTGGGTTTCCCATAATAGCCAAACAAAAATCTAAAATCTTTTATTCATGTGAAGTAAAGTATACTTTCTATAAACAGTTGTTTCCTTTAATAATTTTCAGGGGTGGGGGAGAAAGAGATGCCAATTAGCCATTTTTAATACCTTATATCTTCAAATTAGAATTTTTGAAGTTTCACTTATATCTACATTATGACAGAAAAAGAGAAATTACACACAGTTTACTTCTTTAGATTATCAAAGGCAAACCTCTACCTTTTTTGCCTCGAAACTCAACCCCATTTGGTATCAAATATCTTTTAAGATTAACTCAGCTAAAGTATAGTCTATTTTATAAAGATTTGGATATTTAAGAAAAACAAATGACTATGGTTCATTAATGTGTCATTCTTTTCTTTTCTTTCTTTTAAAGATAGTGTTTTTAGAAGAAGCATCTCAACATGAAAAACTGGCCAAAGAATGGAGCTTCAAGCCATGTGAAATAAGAGAACTCAGCCACCAGTAAGTCATCATCAACTTCTTCTGTTTTCTTGGATGCCACTAACTAGGCTCAAGTTACAGGAAACCTGCCTTGAGAGACAGACATGTTTTTTAAAAAAAATTAATTAGCTATTACTTTTAAGGGAGAAAGTGGGAAAGAGAAATGTAAACAGGAAGCTGAAGGCTGGAAGCTTTGAGAACTAGAGGCTGCCATCATCATTCATTTCTTCAGCAAATATTCATTGAGCCTTCTGTGTGCAGTACTGGGATCTGGAGGTGAAAAAGATCTTCAAGGTCCTTCTTGTCCTCACAGGGTTTATGGCCCAGGGGGAACATGGGGCACACTGCCAGTAAACAAGCAGACAGATACATAAACATGACGGCAGTAGATTGCGATACGTTCTGTGAAGAAAGTTAGTGAGCAGAGGAAGGGTATGATAGAGATAAACTATTGAGGAGCAGGGAGGGAGATTTTGACAATCAGTTCCTCCAACAGCTTGGTCAGAGAAGACCTATGTCCAGAGGTGAATTTGAGCTGTGCTTTTGTATTCAACTACTTTTAATGGTTTTAAATATTTTTACGAAATATGTTTTTTTATGATTGGCCCTCTGTCTTCATAACTTGGTTGATTTGTTCTTTAGACATGTGAGCTCTTTTTTTTTTTTTTTAAAGCATAAATAGTTTATCTTGTTTCAGGCCATGTTCATTCCAAGGGCAACAAAAGTGGTGCCATTTTCATTCTGAAAACATTTTCATAACTTGAGAGTTGACTTTTGGCAAATGTAGTGAGCCAAAAGGAACATTGAGCTAGGTATGAGAATACCTGGTTTGGATTTATACTCTAGAGCTTTGCAGCTCTTAGGTGTAAAGCAAACTACCGTCCTTTGAATTTATCTTGGTCATTAGGCTCATCTGTGGTCACAATCCAGAGAGATAGGATAACTACTCATAAAGTTTTGCTGCATGTACAGTTAAACTCACATCCCCTACCTCTTTCCCTTCCCCCACTGCCTTTCTATAGCTTGGAAGTATGTGGGCAATGGGCATGGAAATTCATACAGGAACTTTTGCTGTTACCCGTCTACTTGCTCTTGCTCAATTTCCATTAAGAATCTACATTGAGGAACAATGACATTTACAGTCACCTGCTTGCATGTCTTGTGATGGAGGATTAGAAGAAGGCTTGGAAGCAGATGACATGGAGGTCGGGAGGAAATGAGATGATGGGGAATTGGTTGGAGAATGGGGAGGAGGGTGAACATATCTGTGGGTCTTTGTATCCTTTTGTCTCTCCTATGAGAATTCTTTTGGAGTTTAATCCATCAAAGATTCAGATTCTGGGGGCTCTGTCAGCATAGCACACAGAGAAGTGGTAAGGTAAGAAATCATTTAAATTTTGGTGGAAGGCTGAAGTCTTTGAAGAAAAATCATATATGAAATGCAAAGTAATTCTTAAGTGCACAAGTTATATGCAGTTGAATTTAAGTCATGATTAAAATACTATAGAGGATGATGTCTCTGACAGCCTTTTTAGTAGACTTGGCCCAATACCCATTGTATCTACTGGTCTATCTCAGCACAATGTGGTTTTTTAAAGAAGGAAAACTACAGCTGGAGCACTGCAGGCAGTGCTGTGGTGGGAGTGGATCAGATTGTGGCCGTGCCCCGTGGAGAGGTTTGCAGGGCCAGGACTGGGGGAGGGGAGTGAGACACTCACCTCAGGTACAATATTTAAGTCAGCCGGGAGAGCAAAATACTCAGTAATCAAGGTAAATAATACTTTAATGCAATATTTAAAAAAATAAAAATTAATACAAAATCCATGATGAGCAAAATACCAAAATTTTAAATAAAGACAGGATGTTGCTGTTTGTTTTATAATCTTGCTTTCTTAAACATAGTAGATACTTGGGAAATATTATTTGATTGAACAATTTAACTGCTTGAAGAAGCCCACCCTGCCATTCCATTTTTTGGTAGTGGAGAATACAAAATCCCAAAGGACTGACCTGTCTTGGAGAGGTCAGTGACTGACACCTGAGATAAATTCATATTTCATCCTCCCTCTCTGCTTGTTTCCCACATTATAGGCCCATTTAGTGCTACCTTCTTGCCATACGTAAAAGTTCTTACTCTATTTCCATAGTTAGTGAATTAACAGTTCTGTCCCATGGCACATAGAATATTGAACCTATAGACGAGCTGCCGGGGTTTGAATCTCAGCTCCAAAACTGGCTAGTTAATTATTACTTTTTTTCAACCTACTTAAATTTCCTGAGCTTTAGCTTACCTTTGTGTAAATGAGGGTGATAATACTCTCATACTTGATACATTTGTTGAGAGCATTACGTCATCTTCTTCATAACTAACACATATTGATACTTTCCATTATCTAGGTACTGTTCTTACCTATACTAACTCAATCTTCACAAGAGCCCTATGATGCTACTACTATCCCCATTTTAAGTAACAGGAAACTGACTCACAGAGAGACTAAATAACATGCTGACTCTCCAACTTCTGGTTTATGGTGGGGCTTGACTTCAAATCTAAGCAGCCCAAATCTAGAATGTATGTCCTTAACCTGGCAATAAACTGCCTCCCACAGATGAGATGGTGCACGCAGGACACTGCGCCCAGTGTCTGGTACACGTGCGTATTCAGGAAACATCAGCTGCTGTCACCATCATCCCCATTATCACTACCACCATTCCTCTTGGCTCTCTTTTTAAAATAATGCACTTTGAGCTACTCGTGGCCTTACTTGTCTCACACTTGGGTGGTACTTACACCTTTGATTTGATAGCACAAGGTATTCCTTGTGATGTCAAGTTTCAAGTTCCTTATGTGACGTAACATTTACTCAAAGTGATGGTGGTGGTGGTGCGTGCCATGTTTTAGTGAATATCTGGATGAGGTTGAACACTTACTAGTGGCTGGTGAACTGCATCAGCTCTTTAGAAAAGCTTTAAGTGTCTGTTAGCATCAGGCTGCCTCAATTCTGTGGCTCTGAAAACTTTAAAAACATCTTTCCGTGACTTTCCATTGTAAGAATTAATAGAAATATGCGTCTTAGTTGGTGGATCGGGATGGCAACAGGAGTGATCAGGAGCATCCTGAGCATGGTTGCCATAGCAACGCAACTCCCTCTTCACTTAACCATTTACACCACTGCCCATTTGTGCTCCTGTGCGTGTTTCTAACCAGCTTGCTCTTGCTGCTTTATTTCAGAACTTAGTCTCTACACCACATGGGAAAGGACTAGATGTCTTGCAGTCAGCCAAGATCAAAATGACCCACAGAGTCTAAAATTGCGGCCACTCTGTTTTTCATCCCAGTTACCCTTAGTGACTTGCGTGCGCATTCCTTACCATGCCTCTAGAAGTTTTGAAGACCCTCTCTCCCACCTTTGCTCTCTGTTCTACAACCACCAGCTGTGAGAACAAAGTCACAGGATTAAATCATAGCTTCCCTCCTTTCTTGTGCTACGACTGCTTTGTTTCTGCTCTGTGCTGGGGCTTTTTCCTTCCTCCGTAATCACTGGTTAACCCCAAACCAGCCGTTCTGACTTAGGAGCTATCTCTCTCTAAGCAGAAAGCTTCATTTTTATTTCTTAACCTCTGAAAAATAGAAGAATTTACAGTTGTCTGATTGTATCAGCTATAAACCCATGTGGAGTGAACAATAAGATCAATCTCAAGAGAAAATGTGATTGAAACACACAGAAAATGACTGGAGGTATTATTAAATACTTTCCCTCTCCTTTTATTTTCCAGTGAGTTCTTCATGCCTGGACTGGTCGATACGCACATCCATGCTCCTCAGTATTACTTTGCTGGAAGTAATGTAGACCTGCCACTTTTGGAGTGGCTGACCAAATACACATTTCCCGTAGAACAGAGATTCCAGAGCACCGACTTTGCTGAAGAAGTGTATACTAGAGTTGTCGTAAGTATCCTGTGTGTGGCGTTATGTTTGGTCATCTATGGAAGGATCTGCTTCCTGGGAGGGCAGATTTAAACGATAAAGCATAGCCAGTTAAGGGTAAGACGGACCTTAGAGACTTTTCAAAGTTTCTTCACAGCCCAGTGAGTTTGTGACCACCTTACCTACACAACTAGTTCAGTGACAAAGAGAGAATTCGAATCCAAGTTCCCAAATACCCAATCTGGTGAGCTCCATATTACTGTCTTTTATTTCTTGTGTTTTACTGTACCAGATCTGGGTTTAGTGCGATGTGTGTTCCGTATTCCTGCCAACCCCTAATACTGTTCTGAGGACCATATGGAATGAATAGCTGCGTGACCTTTGGAAAATTCTGTGACTCACTTTCCCCATCTGTAAAAAACAGAGCTCATGATAGTACCTAATTCACAGGATTCTTATGAGAATTAAGTTAATATTTGTGAGGTTCTTAGAATAGTGCCTGGCACATGGTAAGAGATCTATGTGTTTGCTTTAAAAAATACCCAAGGAAATTTAAAATTAAAACTCTAAATTACCATTAGAAGGATATCACATTATTCTGGTAGCTTTGCAAGGAGGGAAAATAGGATGGTTCTATATTGCAGGGTATGTGAAAATGTGACATGAGCATTAATACCACTAGAGGGAACTCTGGGGCTAGTTCAGTCATTGAACAGTGGCTGGAGTGTGTTCTGACAACATATTGAAGGCTCTGAAAATGTCCTTCCTTCTATTCTTTCAAGAAAATCAGTTCCCTTCTTTCTACTCCAACCCCATGCCCATAACCAGTATCCACTAACTAGGAATAGCTTTTGCAGGAAAGAAGTTAAAGCTACAAATACCTTTTTATCTGACTACTACTTCATGTGGTTCAGCACACCTGGTGTTCAACTCCTAAATTTTTGTTAGACTCATTGGTGGTTTTGTTGGGTCCATCGTTGTTAACTATATAGAGGTGACAGTATAACAAGCCTTCCACAGTGACTGGCCTAGCCATCCTGCCATATGCACCTGTTTCTTTGGTCTTGCATTATTCTAGACTTAAAGAGTAAAATCAAGTACTAACATTTATACACTTGCCTAGCATAATTATAAATTCAGTGCAATTGTGGCTCTTACATATTTAGCATGCATCCACATGACACCAGAAAAACTGAGAAGGACTCAAAGCTGTGTATGAAGTTGCTGGTGCATTGTGTTAATGAATTGTGTTAACCACACCAAATCTTTATTTATATCTCATATTGTTCTAAAAAGGGTTTGAGATATCTTAAAATTGCATAGTACACAACAAAAGAAAATGAGTCATGAAATCACAGCAAAGAAAAAAATAGGGGAGGAAAAATAAAATAAAACCAAGAAGTCAATGGTATGCTGTGGGGTCAATGAACTTTTAGAGCTTGCCACCAATTTGGCTTTAAATTTCTAGAACCTGACCCAGAGAGGGAAATCTGTTATCAAATTTATACTATTTGATAAAACAATAACACATTTGTTAAGGTAAAGTATAGGTATGTATTCCTTGTACTGAAACTTGAGAAAATTAATAGTGATATTCCTTAATGTAGAAAGATGCTATGTTGTCAAAATATATATTGTAAAGATGCTATAGTATCAGCAAGTCCAGATAGACCAGTGCATTATGTTTACAGAGATAGAGAATCAAGGACTATATATCCTTTAGGTGATATTACTTAAACATAAGCATGATATTACACATACATTTTTTTTTGCATTGGAGATTTATTTAAGTATTTGATGTCAATGAGTACAAAATAGGTTTTATTCTTATTTGCTGTGCTGTAGGAAATACATCCTACATTTCTGGTCATGAGCAGGCACACAGACTTTTACAGTTGGGCGAGCCAAAGGTGTGGTTAGCATCTGTTTAAGAAAGTAGAGATTTGTTAGCTAGAACTTATTACTGGGCTGAAGGGTTCCTATGGCAATGCAAAGGGGTGTGGAGGAAGTACTCATGAGTAGAACTAAGATTTTTTTGGGTTTTTAAAAATTTTCTTTCCCAGAAAACAGTCATAGAACTACTTCAAGAAATGTGTACCATAGATTATAGCAGTGATAATTTAATCTGCAAATAATTTAAAGTATATATTAGCAAGCACCTCTTGAGATTATTAGGGAAAAAGAATCCTCAGTAAACCAAACCTAGAGTATTTCCCTTTAAGCATTGCAAACTGGAAGAGAGATTGTACTTTCAAATGGGACTGAGATGAATGACAATAACAAAAAAAACCTAGAACCTTTAGGAATCTGCCTAAATTATGATCAAAGAATATGAGGGTAAGATCCTTGGTAAATGTGACAAAACAAAAATTGGTTGCAAATATTCTCCTTAACAATACAATAAATATACTTATTCACAGCCTCTGGCTCAGGCCTGGCACCGAAAAATGGGCCCGAGTCAGGGACTGTGTGGTACCTCTATTGTCTTCATTGCTAACTAGCCTCAATTTTCCATTTTGATTTCCTCTTCAAGCCAAGATTGTAGAAAAGTGCTTGAAGTTTTGAAAATTTAGGAAAATTTAGATTATGTGTCTATTTTAACTTTTAGTTTTAGTTTGGTTAGTGAATATAACGTGTCATTTTCCTAGGGAATAGTTGAGATTTATTTTATAACCTAATAAAAGGTTTTTTATGGTTCTGCAAAATTTTTAAAACACTGTGTTTCCTCTGTTGATATGACATATTTTATATATTTATGAGATAAAGTTGTTAAAAGTGTTAAACAAATATTGTATTATTTTACTCTACATTCTCCCATGCGATGAGACAATAGTTCTTACATTCTCTTCCTTTCTTCCTTCATCCCCACCCACTTGACAATGTCCTATGTTATGTCACATCTGAGATTTTAGTTCAACTTTAATTTTTTTTGTCATCTATACTAAATTTAAAATAAGTTTTAACTTTTAAATTTAAGTTTTTTTGAGACAGAGTCTCACTCTGTTGCCCAGGCTAGAGTGCTGTGGCGTCAGCCTAGCTCACAGCAACCTCGAACTCCCGGGCTCAAGCAATCCTCCTGCCTCAGCCTCCCAGGTAGCTGGGACTACAAGCATGCGCCACCATGCCCTGCTAATATATATATATATATAATAATGTATGTATGTATTTTTTTTTTTTTAGTTGTCCAGCTAATTTCTTTCTGTTTTTTTTTTTTTTTAGTAGAGACAGTGTCTTGCTCTTGCTCAGGTTGATCTCGAACTCCTGAGTTCAAATGATCTGCCCACCTTGGCCTCCCAGAGTGTTAGGATTACAGGCATGAACTACCATGCCCGGCCTAAATTTAACTTTTAACATTTATTTTAATTTAATTCTGGGTTGCTATTTGTTAACATCTGCATTTAATTTAACAATTAGCTTTACTTTTTCTTTTGCTACTTGGATTCCTGTCATCCTTTTGGATTCCCTTCTCATATTGTTGGGATATAGATTTTGATATTCCTTTCCAATCAGGTGGGTAATAAACATACCAAATCCTTGAATTATCAAAAATGGTTTTCCATTTTTCTTAGTCTTGAACAATGCCTTAGCTATAGAGAGAATTCTATTTGAAATTATTTGCCTACCAGCATCTAATGTGCTGATGTCAGTCTAGTTCTCATTCCTTGCTAGCAAATTTGCCGGCCTTTAGGATATTTTCCCTCATTTTTGATGTTCTGAAATTTAAATTGTTGCTTTTCCAATTCGTTCCCTTTAATACATAGTTTTTTCAATATGAGAACTTCTGTCTTCTGGGCTAGGATTTCTGTTCTTTCTGTCTCTCTCTTAGTAGTAACATATTCTTCACTCCAATCTACTCTTTCCTTTGATAACTCCTACTGGAAAAATGTTGAAATTTCTGGATCTACTTCCATATCTCTGAACTTTTCTTTCTTACTACATTCTTAGAGAATGTCATGTCTTAATTTTGCAAATCATTAATTCACACTTACTGTTATAACAATAACCTGTTCTTCTTTCAAGGATAAAATGTTCTATTTATCTAGGAATGCTAATTGTAGTTCATTTTGTGTCTCTTGCTGTTTTAATAATTCTGCTTCCTCAGGTGAACACTAAGCACACAATAGCACCCAGACATTTTTCTAGTTATTGGAGATTAAATTTCATACCTATGTCATGGTACTAGCTTTTCACCTGGATTTGTAATGCTGATGGTGAGCTCATTTTTGTCTGTAATTGACAAGTTCTAAACATCCTCTACCGGCAGCCAGATATATTTTGTTTCATGTAAAAAATGCCTTAATATTTGAAAAGATTGATATAAAAAAATCCAGATTTTCAAATTCTTTTGATCTTTGGGACTAACTGACATCACTGGGCTCTCATTAGCTTTTTTTAAACAATTGGGTAAAGTTGAAGTAGAGGTTGCTGTCTAAGGTAGGGCATGTTCTTCCCTATTATCTTAACTCCAAACTATTTTAATCCTGCAGACATTTCAGCTTCTGACCTCTGTTCTAGTCAAGAAAGCCCTCTTATTTCACAGAGGAGCAAATTGATGTTAAGAAAGTAAAGTGACTTTTTTTTTTTTATTATTTCAGTGTATTACACGGGTACAAAAGTTTAGGTTACATACATTGCCTTTGCTCCACCCAAGTCAGAGCTACAAGCCTGTCCATCCCTCCCACACCCATTAGGTGTGAATATACCCATCTCCCCACCCCCACCTGCCTGACACCCAATGAACATTACACATATGTGTACCATATGTGTACATAAGTGTTGTCAATACCAGTTTGCTGGTGAGTACGTGTGGTGCTTGTTTTTCCATTCTTGTGATGCTTCACTTAGTAGAATGGGCTCCAGCTCCATCCAGGATAATACAAGAGGTGCTAGATCACCATTGTTTTCCGTGGCTGAGTAGTACTCCATGGTAAACATATACCACATTTTATTAATCCACTCGTGTATTGATGGACACTTGAGTTGTTTCCACATCTTTGCAATTGTGAATTGTTAAAGGGACTTTCTTAAGGTCACACAGCCAATAATACACAAAAAGCAAGGAAGAATCCTAGACTGGAGGGTGTTCCTCTGTACTTTAAAAAGCTTCTGCTAAGCATAGACTTCAAAGTACTCAAATTAACCAGTCCTTTTCCCAAGTGCTTAGGCAGGTTAGGCTATACCTGTTCCATTTTCTTTCTTGGAGATCTTCTTACCTCCTACCATTCTCTTGTTTCTCTGTGATTGGGATTCTCTCTGGCACTACTGTAATCTGGGCATTCCTTTTGCCTCTTTCCTATATTTAATCCTGAATCCCTGGACCCAGGAATTCCTTTTCTTTGCATTCTCTTGTATTGCTAAAACCCATTTTCTAGAAGCTTCTTAACAGTTTATGCAGGGTAAAATTTTTAGGTCTTTGAATATCTCTTATGTCTCTATTCTACTTTCACACTTGATTGGCAATTTACCAGGGTATAAAATTCTGCATTAAAAATAACTCCTCCAGAATTTGGAGGCATTGTTCTGCTTCCACCATTGTTGATGAGAAACCCAGTGCCATTGTCAGTCCTGTCCTTTATCTATGACTAATTTTCTTTTTTTCTGGACGCTTTCAGCATGTTTACTTTGGACTTAATAGCTCACAATTATATGCCTTACTCTGGGCTCTTTTTTATTCACTGTGCTGAGAATTCAATGAAAATTTTCAGTTTGGAGAGACTAATACTATTTTTCAGATAATTTTGTTCCTTCCCTCCATTTACTTAAAAACATTCATTTAGAACTCTTATTCTAAATGTTAGAGCTCCTAGATTGAGTCTAATTTTCTTATCTTTTTACCCCTGATTTCTTTTTTTCCCTGAGAGGTTCTCTTCTAAGTTACCTGACAACCCTTCCGAATTGGCTTCTAAATTTCATTTATAATATTTTTACTTTGGGAGAATTCTTATTCTCTGATTGTCATAGCATTTTGTTCTTGTTTTGTAGATGCATTAGTGTCTTTTATTTCTTTGAGGATGTTAATCATAGTGGGTTTTTTTAAAAAAAGCTTTTCCCCAACCTTATAGGTTACCTGTTTTCTCTAAGATTTTTTTTTTCAGATTCTTTCTCTCTCCTCATATTTTTGATACTAGCTTTCCTCTATGGCCTGTTGAACCTCAGACATACATTCAGACTTCAGTGTGATGCTCTGAGATGCCGACTGAAGTTCTGAGTGGAGGTAGCACTTGTTGACCAGTGAACGTCATTACGGAGTGAAGTGTGAAGGTGATAAACAGCCCTTTCAGTTGTGGCCCCCCAATGCCACTGTGAGGACATCTTTCTTCTAGAGCCACTTTTTCTCCAGAATAGGATCCTTTAATCCCTTGGCAGGAGTGGGAGGATTAGTACAAGTGGCTTTCTTGGAGGAAGATGATCTTGGAGGTCAGCCAGATTTTCACTAAAACTTCTTCGTTACCTCGTCCTTTTGGGCTATGCCCCCTAAATACTCTCCAATTTCTTTCTTTTTCCCTTTTCCCTGTTCCCTTTTCCTCCTTTCCTTTCCTTTCCTTTCCTTTCCTTTCCTTTCCTTTCCTTTCCTTTCCTTTCCTTTCCTTTCCTTTCCGTTCCGTTCCGTTCCGTTCCGTTCCGTTCCCTGTTCCCTGTTCCCTGTTCCCTGTTCCCTGTTCCCTGTTCCCTGTTCCCTGTTCCCTGTTCCCTGTTCCCTGTTCCCTGTTCCCTGTTCTCTTCTTCCTTCTCCCTTCTTCTCCCTTCTTCTCCCTTCTCCCTTTCCTTTCCTTTCCTTTCCTTCTTGACAGAGTCTTACTCTGTTGCCCTGGCTAGAGTGTCCGTGGCATCAGCCTAGCTCACAGCAACCCCCTACTCCTGGGCTCAAGCGATCCTCCTGCCTCAGTCTCCCGAGTAGCTGGAAATACAGGCACGCACCACCATGCCTGGCTAATTTTTTCTATATGTATTTTTAGTTGGCCAATTGGTTTCTTTCTATTTTTAGTAGAGACGGGGTCTTGCTGTTGCTCAGGCTGGTCTCAAACTCCTGACCTTGAGTGATCCTCCTGCCTCGGCCTCCCAGAGTGCTAGGATTACAGGCATGAACCACCGCACCCGGCCAATACTCTCCAATTTCTACAAAGAGTAAATTTCTCCTATGAGGAACAGGTTAGGGGTGGTTGGCTGATTTCAGTAGGAAGGAGAAGGGTTTTGCCAGGGTTTAATCATCTGTACTTGGACTTTCAGCCAATTCCCTGCTAATGCCCATATACTTCTCTCCCTCTTCTCAAGTTGCTTCCAGGTCCTCATCCATGTTTTTTTTTTGTCTTTCAAGAAGATGTTGAAATATTTCTTCTGCTCCTGTCGCCTCTCATGTTCTTTCTGTGGATTAATAGATTTTTGTATTCCTTACTGTTATGTTTGTCAGTGGTGACTTGCTGAGGTAAGAAGATGGATACATGTGGTCAATCACCCAGGTTGAACTATGTAATAGAAGTCTGGCTGAATGTTTTTTACTCTCTAATAGATAGGAAAATCTTATTTATGCACTCCCAGATGAAATAACATTTGGATATCCTTAATCCTAAGAAATAAGGAATTAGTATCACATTTTATCAATTCTGAAACACATAACTGTTTGAACCTAGGAAATCAAAAGTATCAACTTCTTCTCCAGCTAACACTTTTGGGATATAAATACTTTTGCCATTTACTTAACTATATTCCATATCAAGATGGCATACCTTTAAATAAAAGCATTTTAAATTTAAAAGCTAGAATTCTATTTTTCTCTCAATATGCCATGTGACTTTTTCTGGGCACATGCAATTCATGGTTTTTGTGATTTATTTTTAGAGGAGAACACTAAAGAATGGAACAACCACAGCTTGTTACTTTGGAACAATTCACACTGACTCATCTCTGCTCCTTGCTGAAATTACAGGTGAGCAGATGAAAGCATGATTTATGGGTAAAGACAGCCAGACCTTGCCTTGCAAACATCTTACATGTAGTTGTGGGCAGTCTCGCCTTTTAATTGCTAGGATTTGAGCATTGCATTTTTTTGTGTGTGCAGATAATTAAATGTCTGTGTATCACTGTGGCCCTTGAATGTTTTCTGTTGTTTTAGTAATTTGATAATTTGCTTCCATTTTTTGGTTACAGAATGATGTATATGGGTGTGAATTTTGTTTATTAATTTAGGGCTTTTTAAGGATACGTTTGCTAATTCTAACTGTGGCAATAGTTTATTATAATCAACAGTCACGTGTTGGCTCTTGGCTAGACTCAGATGCTGGAGCACAAAGAAACAAAAAATAGTGTCTGCCCTTGAGGAGCCAGACAGAATGCCTGAACACATTGATCAATAACTTTGTAACGTCTATGGTACTGTTACTAGATGCTTGGCATTGTGCCAAGCACTCTATATTGATTAACTCAGCTGCAAACAGTCTTCTGAGGTTGTTAATGATGTTCTCATGGTACAGCCGACTAAACTGATGATCAGAAGGGTTAAAGTAGCACGCCCAATGTTACACAGCTAGTAAACAGAGCTGAGACTGGATCTAAGTGGGTGAATCCAAAACTTGTACCCAGCACAATGCCTGGCACATAGCAGGTGCTCAGTAAATACTGTTGGCTGATGCACCGATGCTGCTACTTGCTAGACAAGGTAGTTTACACCAAAGGGCTGACAGATGACACTGAAAATAGATGTCGCAGTTTTCAGAGTAGGCAAAGAGAACCCAGGACTAGGTTGTGTGGGAAGACTTCATAGAAGGGATATTTATTTATTTGTTTTTTGAAACAGGGTCTGTTGCTCTGTCTCAAAAAATAAATGACGCCGTTGCACTGGGGCTAGAGTGCAGTGGCCTCATCATAGCTCACGGTGACCTCAAACTCCTGGGCTCAAGCCGTCCTCCTGCCTCAGCCTCCCGAGTAGCTGGGACTACAGGTGCACACTACCATGCCTGGCTGATTTTTCCACTTTTTGTAGAGACAAGGTCATGTTATGTTGCCCAGGCTTGTTTTGAACTCTTTGGCTCAAGCTATCCTCCTACCTCAGCCTCCCAAAGTGCTGAGATTACAGGTGTGAGCCATTGCACCTGGCCAAAAGGGGCTTTTCAACCAGTCTTTGAAGGGAAGACAAGCTGGAGGAGAGAATAAAGTGTCTTCTGGATGGGGGAGATGACATAGACATAGATACGAGGACAGGAAATGTCCATAGCAGATGCAGGGATCGGGGAGTAGAGCAGTTTAACTGGAGGAGAAGGTTCATCACATGTGGGGTGAGAGAGGAGGGTGGGCAGATGGGCTGCCTCAGACTGTGGAGGAGCTCAAATACATCACAGGCCCAAGGAATCTTGAGCCAGCTCAGGTATGTGTTAAAAGTAGTATTTTAAGAAGATTAATGGTCAGGTATTAAAATGAATTATAGGGGAAAGAAAGATGCAGAAAGACTTCTGAAAGACTCCTATAACAGAGGTAGAGATAATGTAAAAAAACCAAAACAAAACAAAACCCAATTACCATTGCCCCATGTAGCTTCAACCTTCTGGTCGAAATAGAATTCTTCTAGCACCTCTGACAAGGACTAGACCTCATCCGTGCTGGGAGCTGCTAGTGGGACTAAGTGAAATTCCCCAGAGATAATGCTATCGGCACTGCTACCGTTCAGAAGCGGAGCAGTATGGTGCCTGATTCCCACGTGCGAGACACCTTATGTACATTATTGCATGTGTTCTTCATAACCCTGCACCTGGCAGAGGACACTGGGTACCTTAACCAAGTAATATCCACCATCCTGGGAGTGATCAGAGGAATAAGGAACCAATCCACATCTGTCCAACTGCAGTCCTTATCCCTAGACCATGCTGTGTTTTGTCAAGAAGAGGATCACATTTGAGAGAGAGAGAGAGAGACTCAATCCAAGGGGCAGTGGTAGAGTGGGAGACAGGAGGGAGATTGTGAGTGGGGGAAAAAAGAGAAGGAAGAAAGAGAAAAAACAGTGTAGGCATGCCCAGGACTAATAGAGTCTTTCTCTAGGATCTGAGGCTGTTTTCTCTTTACCATGTGATAAAATGAGAGCAAAGATAGTTATGGCTTTAGAAAAAATATGTACAAATTGTATAAACAAAGGGAAAATCTGAGTAATAAGTTAAAAATACCCAATGATTATCTGGGAAATCTGGGAATGGGGTTGGGGGAGGTGGTAGGTGGCAGTGATAAATGGAAGACACTTTATTACTTAGTGAATTTAGTGGGGATTTGTTGTTGTTGTTCTTTTTATGTTTTTTGTTTGTCTGTTTTTTACTTATTTTCTTTTGAAGACCTCAGAACTCAGCAGTGGTTATTATTCTTAAATGATATGATGGCAGATGGTCTTTTACACATTCACTTATGTTTTCCATAATAATTGCAATTTTAAAATGCTTTTAAAAAGCTTAGAAAAAGTACTATTTGAGAAGTAAATATACCTTCAGATTCTTTTCATGTGTGCTTCACAGATAAATTTGGACAGCGAGCCTTTGTGGGCAAAGTGTGCATGGATTTGAACGACACTGTGCCAGAGTACAAAGAGAGCACCGAGGAGTCGGTCAAGGAAACGGAGAGGTAAAATGCTCATTTGTCCCAATTTGTGTTATGGGTGGGTCCCTCTGCTGCTCTGATGGAGTGAGAGAGAGTGAAAGAGGAAACAAGATGACGTTAATGACCCAGCAGGATATGCACATAGTGATTCAGAACGTTTAATGCGATGGGTCAGCCAGTCTACAGTGCATTTGACCAGACACTTGGTAATCATTAAGGATTGACAAAGAGCTTGCCTTTGCAAGTGTCACACTTGATCCTCATAGAAATCTCCACGAGGTGTCTGTCTTTTATGATAAGGAAGCTGAATTTGATGTAAGCTGTATGACTTGCTCACGGTCATTTAGAATTTAAAACCAAGATTTACGACTCTAAATGCAGAGTTCTTTCTGCCATGACCTAGAGCCTACCTCATACTCAGTGTAAGTAAAGACAGAGAGAGATTGAAGGTGTGCAAGAGCATTTGTGGTGGATATAAAATTATAAAAATTTTATAATTTTTAATTATAAAAAATATAAATTTTTGTTTATATTTTAAAAGAATGGTAGAAGTGATGAGTCATTTATGGAATAAAATATTATATGAGAAGTTAGGAAAAATGAGTTACATTTACAGATTAATGAAAGATCTTTGACTAAAAAGGGATTTAAAAAATAATACCAAAGGAGTATTTGCCCCTACGATACAAATCTTGGAGAAGCACAAAAAGGTTCAAGGAAGAAAAATGTCCTTCATAATTAAACCATCTAAAGTTACCAGTATTGGGATTTTACTCTGTATCTTTTTAGTGTTTTTTTCAGGGTGGTATATGTATCCCTCACAAGCGTTTTGTCCTGCCATGGGAAGAGGGACGTTATTTTACATATATGCTAGAATAGCCATAACATGTTAACGTAGGGAGCTAGAATGTCCCCTGTCCAAAAACATGAACCGAAAGAATATCTTTCCAAGGTGAGGTGTAGACGTGCAGGAGGGAAGGCCATGATTCCTTTTCCTGTCTTAGTTCTGTAGCTGGGAGCTCACAGGAAGGCAGGCCTCTTTGCACTATTACAATCAAGGTTCTGAGGACATTCTGTGGTGATGCACAAGCTAGAGAAAGACCCTGGGAGGGACCAAGGTCCACTTTGCTGTTGCTGGACATAGCGCTGGGTTTGCCAGAGGCCGTGGACCTCCTACTTTGCAAAGATCTACATCTTAAAGAATAGGGTGCCCTATGCAGAATCATAAAAAGTAGGGGTGTGCAAGGGAAATGAAAACATATGTCCACATAACTTGCATGTGAGTGTTCATAGCATTTTTATTTATAGAAACCAAACGTGAAGCAGATTCTCTGTGCATTGGCATCAGTTCCAGGGGAGGACTCTAAACACTTTGCCAGTACTGCACACCAGTGTCAACCCACTTGCATGAGACAAGTCCATGAGACAGAACACTCACACAATAAGTGAAGCAAGTTTATTACTCACAGATAGGCAGCAAGGGACAATAGATGCTAGAACTCATGGTGAGCTGGTCTTCCAAGGCTCAGAAAGTTGCCCAGGGTGAATGGAGTCCCACCTGTGCATGCCCCATGTCACTCCATAGCTGGGGGACCCTGAAAGCATGCTCTGTCTGTGGTTTTATGCCCAGATGAAACTTGCCTCACTGGGCAAAAGCATTATAGAACATACGTCCTAATAGGAAAGGGATCAGAACCTGGGCTGTTCTGGCTGTTCATCCTCATTATCTCAGGATGTTACATTGCCAGCACATTCTATAGTTATTCTCAGAACTATAAGCAAGAAAAAGATCTGGGTCACCAAGGCCATCTGGGGACTTGTCTGGCACCAAACAGTAGAAACAACAAAAATTTTCATTAACAAGTAAATGGATAAACAAAATGTGGTATGCAGTGGACTATTATTCAAGCCATAAAAAGTAGGGAAGTACTTATCCATTTTACAGCATGGATGAACTTTAAAAACATTGTGCTAGAAACGTCTGGGGGATGGACACACTTGAAGCTCTGACTCGAGGGGGGAGGGGGGCATAGGCAATATATGTAACCTTAACACTCGTACCCCCATAATATGCTAAAATAAAAATAAATTAAAATAAAAAACCATTGTGGTAAGAGAAAGAAACCCAGCACAAAAGGCCACATATTGTATGGTTCCATGTGTAGGAAATGTATAGAAAATGCAAATCTATAGAGGCAGAAAGTTAGATTAGAGATGGGCTGGGGGTAGGAATGACTATTACTTATAAATGGGCCCACGGATGTAATTGGGGTGATGAGGCTGCTTTGGATTCTGATGGTTGCACACTCAATCAACTGAACTAAAAATATCATTCAAACATGCACTTAAAAAAGGCGAATTTTGTGATATGAGTAATAAATTACACTTCAATAAAATAGTTTTTAAAAACAGGAGTATGTGGGTGGGGTTCAGGCATATTTGTGTTTTCTTGTTCACATCCACTTCAGATAAGAGTTGAGTGGAAAGTAATTAGCTTTTTTAAAAAGTAAATTTATTTTTGAAAGGTTGCTTTTAAACTCACAAGGGAATGATTTTTTTTTTTTTTACAAAGACTTTTTAAGGTATAAATAGCCATGGAGCATATTTTCAGAGACTCCAGCCCTCTGTGATATTCTCCTGTGGTACGAGAATGCTTCTCTTGGTGCTTCTAGCACTCTTCCTCTCTTCTCCCCTGATCCCACACAGTTGAAGCAAAAAAAAAAAAAAAAAATTAAAAGGCCCGAGAAACTCAAGATGTATTAACACAGGAGTCTTCCTGTGATGTTGAAATGAAGTTGAAAGATGATTGAACGCCACTAGCCACTAAATCATTCTTCCCGTTTGCCAAGGCCACCTTTTGGGTTTATCCAACTTGGTGAAATTGGTCTGTTCCTAAAAAATTTCTTGCATGTCTATTGTAAATTGTAAATTTCTTGCAATACTATTTTTGTGTGACAAATTATATTTTAAAGCCTCGACGAAACTGCTACAGGAGTCCTAGGATAAATCCATTTGTAAAATGAAAGATTCTTTTTTAAAGTAAATGATTTACCCTCCGCTTCTCCTTTATCATAGATCAGGGCTTCTCCTGTAGGTTGGATTTGCTTTTAAGTACAATGTGGCCTGCTCATTAAATTACTTTTGGTTGTGGGTCATATTATTGCTTGAGATCATGAGTTTTCATTATGTTCTTTTTCGTATAACATTGTGATATTCTGCTGATCACATAAATACTCTTCTTACATTTTTAAATGGCTTTTCCATAGTTCCTTAAGGATTTGACAAGCAATTTTATTGTATTCCATCTAACATCCAAGAGATATCGAAGAAAATTCTTTAGATATAAATCTTTCCCAAGACCAAATCTAAATGAATGCGAGTTTTAGAAGTCTAACGTTTTGTTCCTCAGGCCTTCCCCCTCTGTGGGCTGCTCACGGAGAGAAGGAAGTACCCTCCTTCCCCTGGCATCAGCCATATGCTTAGCTCGTCTATTAACCCGTTTTTGTGGCTGTCGTAAACCTTAATGCGTATTTTCTTAAGAAATAAAGGAATACTAGAAGGCAGGAAACTATAGCTGCCCCGCCGGGGCAGAAGTAGACATTTCACAGGCTTTATCGTTGCCACCACCCCTACAGCCATAACTGGTGGGGTCACCGTCCATCCCGTTTACCATGTACTTTACAACTACCTCTGGCCTATTCCTTCTGCTGTACTCCAGCATCCATCCCCAGGAGGTCTCTGCCCTGGAAATAAGTATTAAAACTCTGTGAAGGAGTAAGTTTCCATGTTAGTGGAATTAGAAGTAGAGAGTCCTGTGGCTTCCAAACACCTCCAGGTGCATAGGACTCCATGACTCTAATATCCATGGAGCATAACATATTGCAATGTTTCCCCAAACAGAACTTGAGTTAGTAGAACAACTTGAGTGCTGTGGGAATACTCATGAACAGCCCAACTGATGGTAGGTGATAACGTTACATTTCCCTGTGATTTTGTGCTCCACCTCTGGCTGCAAGGGGGAAAACAGAGTAAATTCTACTTGTTAATCTTTAGTGGTCGGGAAACATGTTCCGTATTAGAAATGTTTGCATGGAAATTAGGGCATATAAGGATCATTTGAAAATTTATTTATTTTGAAACATTTATTTAAAAATTCTTAAGTTTTCTAACTTCCGATTTGTTGCTTTATTTCAGATTTGTGTCAGAAATGCTTCAAAAGAATGTAAGTAAATTTGTTCAGAGCTTGCATTTAAATTGCCTTTACATTCATTGTAGAATTCATTATTAAGGTGTTTGATAGAGATTAGTCTATGTACAATTGGCTTTTTCCATGCACGAAGAAGTATTTTCCTAGAACCTTAAATTGTTTTCACAGTGGACCCTTCAGTTCAGCTCAATGAGGTCAGGCATTTTTTGAAAATATTTAAAATGGACAAATCAAGACTGTATATATATTCAGGGTATACAATGTGATGATTTTTTTTTTTTGAGACAGAGTTTTGCTCTGTCTCCTTGGATAGAGTACAGTGTTGTCGTCATAGCTCACTGCAACGAGTAAGTTTCCACTTTAGGGAGAGTCCCATGGCTTCCAAATACCACCATAGCTCACTGCAACCTCCTGGGCTCAAGTGATCCTCCTGCCTCACCCTCTGGAGTAGCTAGGACTACAGGCATGCACCAAGACACCTGGCTAATTTTTCTATTTTTAGTAGAGACAGGATCACACTCTTGCTCAGGCTGGTCTCAAACTCCTGAGCTCAAGGAATCCTCCCACCTCAGCCTCCCAGAGTGCTAGCATTGCAGGCATGAGCCACCTTGCCCGGCCATAATGTGATGATTTGATATACATATACATTATTAAATGATAATCAAAATCAAATTAATCAGCACATCCATCACCACACATGCTGTACATTATATCCCTAGAACTTATTCATCTTATAACTGGAAATTTATACCCTTTGATCAACATCTTCCCATATGATCCAGCAATCCCACTTCTGGGTATATATCCAAAAGAAATGAAATCAGTATCTTGAAGAGGTATCTGCAGCCCATGTTCATTGCAGCATTATTCACAATGGAGATTCATAATTATTCATAATAGAGACAAGTCAGTGTCTATGGACAGATGAATGGATAAGGAAAATGCAAGGTGTGTGCATATATATATATATATAATACACACAGGAATATTATTTAACCATGTCAAAGAGGGAAATCCTGGCATTTGTGACAACATGGATGAACCTAGAGGTCATTATATTATGCGAAATAAGCCAATCAAAGAAAGAAAGATACTGTACGATCTCACTTATTTGTAGAATCTAAACAAGTCAAACTCAGAGAAACAGAGGTCAGACATTTTTATCTTTCCAGTGAAGTCTGGTGTGGTTTTTTAGAGACAGGGTCTTGCTGTCACCCTGTCTAGAGTGCAGTGGCACAAACCTCTAACTACTCTACCCAAACAATCCTCCTGCCTCAGCCTCCACGGTAGCTAGGGCAACAGGAATGTGCCACCATGCCTGGCTAATTTTTGTATTTTTTTGTAGAGACAAAGTCTTGCTTTTTGCCCAGGATAGTCCTGAATTCCTGGCTTTGAGTGATCCTCCCACCTCAGCCTTCCAAAATGCTGGGATTCCAGGTGTGAGCCACCATGCTCCATCAGAAAAGCTAAATTAAGTTAGGCAGGTAAACTTGGTCCCAAGTTCACTAAGCTTTTAGTTGATCCAAGGTATGAAAATCTCAGTCACTGCCCAGTTTAGAGTTACCACCTCAAGACATCTTAATTTTTTTCAGTAGTATTTTTCTCTTTCCTTGGGGACCTTCTAATTTTATAGGACTAGTCTCTGGGGAGCTAGGAGAGGGCTTCATGGGTGTGGGCAGAGTGGCGAACTCTGGAAGTTGTGACCGTTTGCAGCTATGTCAACATTGGCACTGGCCACTTATATCCCTGATCTGGTCTGAAATGCAGGCAATGTCCAACCCTGATGCCCCAGCCACCAGCTGTCTTGGACCACATATGCATGCGTGTCAGGTGGCCTGCAAGCGCTCAGCCACGCACCCCCTGTGCACTGCCCTGGCATAGCTGAGCCTATGGAGACAGTGCTGTTTTCTACCTCCACCCCCAGCAGGCTGGTTTGTGGCTCCATCGGGCAAGTTCATAGATTGGCAAGTCCAACCCTTCCTTACCATCTTTTGAGGTTTGATTGAAAACCATAGGAAGCCTCAGAATTTCTTTCACTCTAACCTTGAGAGAACTAGGTGGAACTTTGCAAATGCATGTCCTCACCACCCCTCTATGAGTCCTTCTCTCCTGCCTGGCCACTCACCTCAGGCGGCACCTAAGAGCTGATCCTGTGACTGAACGGTTCTCAAGGAGGCTGTGACCAGAAGTAGAAAGGGGAATACCATCTCACTTTTAGTCTCCCCAGCACTTTCTTTGCAAACTTCTCCTTCAGCCTCCAACTCTCTTCATAAAGGCCACCCAGCTGAGGCTTCATGTGAGCCTTAATGTGGGGCAAGGGGAGTGTCTACTGTTTGGGACAGGGTCTTCTGCTGAACTTGGTGCTCCAGAATATTCTCTCCTTTATTCTCACCCATGAGCTGTTTCCATGAAATCCAGCGTTTCCACCAACTCGTAGAATGGGAAACTCCCCTCTGCCCCACCAAATGAAGACATAAAATCTTTTTGCTATATGACAGGTATTTGGAGGGGGACACATCATGGTCACAATAACCATATTTTTCTTATTGATTGTTTTTTATTATCTCTAGTATTCTAGAGTGAAGCCCATCGTGACACCACGTTTTTCCCTTTCCTGCTCTGAGACTTTGATGGGTGAACTGGGCAACATCGCTAAGACCCATGATTTGCACATTCAGGTGGGTACTTCACCTCTGTTTGCGCCTCTGCCCAGACCTGCGAGATTTCTCAGTATCCTAAATTGCAATCCCCAGTAATCTCCAGTTCTTCTACTGAGTAATCTCTAATTCTTTAACTGAGATTCCCTGGAGTCACACACGACAGGGCAGGAAGGGCTCCTACGGATGTCATGTAATCCAATTCTTAATTTTGCAGATGAGAAACCTGAATTTCCTTTTACTCTCTCTGTTCTCTGATCAGTCTTCAAGAGATGAAGACATGTTCATAAGTAATAGCAAGGTCAACGACAGACTGTTTACTTATTCTCTGTAGGATGCATTTAATGCATTTCTTTCCTGCTTCTCTTTTATTTGATACTTTCTCAGTGTTCTACACCTTCATTCTTGGAGGAACCAGCTATTATTTGAAAAGCAAAATGAACCAAATTTCCACCTTGGAAAAAATGCATTCAAAAGCCCTTTTGTTCCAAGTTTCCTAATTTAAAATCGGGAACAAAAACGTATATTTTATTTTGTCATTAAGTTGTTGCAATTTGGGAATAAAACACTTTTTAAAGCTTACAGCTGAGTTAAAATTGGGAGCTCCTCTTCCCCCATCCAAGCTTAATTGCATACTGTACTACAATTTCTTCTCTTATGAGTTGACTGTCTTATAAAAAAGGCCAGGTTGAGGCAAAGGCTATACATTGATTCTTTATAGGGTGGAGTTTTTTTTGGTCTTTTTAAAACACAATCTCTTTTTTTAGGACTCATTAACTATTTTTATCTTCCTCATTATTATTTTTTTTTGGTCTATAATATTTGAATTTTTAATTCAATCCCATATACTTCTTTCCTGAAGAAAAAATTTAAAACTTAGATCATGTTTCTATTTTGGAAATAGAATGTTTCTATTGCTGAAAAAATACATACAAATCAACATTAAAAAACAATGAAAAATAAAATGAAACGACGCACAATAAAATCAAGTCTATCCTTGCTGGACGGATGTGAACGGATGTATGTGTGTTTACTCACATTCATCAAAATGACATGAAGCACCTGGTTGTCCTTTCTTCTGTTGCTATGTGCATACATTTCATCAATGGTCTGGGATTTCCTCAAGGCCAGTAGAGCTTATTGTCTAGGTGGAGCACTTGTTTTCATAGCATTGCTATTTTTTTCTTTTTAAAATTTGTCTATGCGTAATCTGCCTCATGAAGAGAGAGTTACCATTCTTGGAAATATTAATATGCCCTCTCAGGTTTTGTGGGGCCCTGGAGAAAGGTCCGTGTGAGGGCCTAGGACATACTTGCTCTGCTTGCTTGCGAATTCTTATGGGCTCTTTCTTGATGACTGCAAGACTATCTCGTTCAGCTATTTTTAGACTGTTTTCTGCAAAAGAACTCATTCTGGAAGCCAACAAAGAAGACAGATTGGGGACAGGGTCCCAGAGTACGAGTCCTGTTTCATCCTGAGGGGCAAATTGTTTATGCCCTGTATTTATTGGATTTTTGTGAATTTTTATATGTATAACATGTGCAAAGCTAGAAAAATTTGGAAAATCACTCATCCAGCCCACCAACCCTTTTGTTTGAGAGATGAGAAAATGGAGATCCAAAGAAAAGAATTGACTTTTCGTAAGATATGTAACTATAGTCAGAACTTGGGCTAGAACTCAGCTCTCTTTACTCAAATTCCAGTATTTTTATGAATGAACTATGCTGTCTGGTTTTTAAAATTTTTTTTTGGTGGACACTGAACTCTTTTCTTAAATAGCCAATGCCAGAAGAGGCAGGTTGTCACAAATAGCAAGATTCTTGACTCTTCAAGGAGTACTTTATATGTGTTCTTGCTATAGTTTGGAATTCTGTCGGGAGAATTTTTGCCTTGAGATTATGCACACACACACTACATGTCATGATATTCACTGTCATATATATTATATATATGATGTATGTACTTGTTTTCAATAAAACACATGTACAATCTTCATTGTTTCTCTATGTGGCCCCTTCCATAGGCAAGTAGCAACCATCCATACCATTTTGTTGTAGGAAGTATAATTTCGAATGGTATTTTATGGAAAAAAATGGAAAATATTATTTCTTTTCTTGTAGAGCCATATAAGTGAAAATCGTGATGAAATTGAAGCTGTGAAAAAGTTATATCCCAGTTATAAAAACTACACAGATGTGTATGATAAAAACAATCTTCTCACAAATAAGGTAAATTGTTTATTATGACAATCTACGTAAAGTAGGGCATATTTATTTAAATTTTAACATCTAAGTAGTACTCTTCAGGCTTTCGTCATATGCACACATTTCCCAGACTAGAGTAAAAGCCTAGAGTGTGTGTGTGCATGCATGAGTACGTGTGTGTGCGTGTGTGTGTGTGTAGTTAAAAATGTGCCTGCAGTTTCATCGCTGTCAATAAATCTAAAGACTTCATTGAGAGTGGGAGTGTCATTTGGTCCAAAGACACTTTGACAGTATCCATTAGAATGCAAATGTGCATTCATTTGAGTCAGCAAGTGCACGTCTAAGGATCCATTCTGTAACTAATATAAGCAGGGGTATTAATTACATATGAAAGTTAACAAATGGCTATCGGTGGGGGATTGGTTAAATTATAGAGCATACAAAATTAGAATTTTATCCAGGATTCACAAAGAAAGAGGTACAAAGGCTTTCAAGGAAGAATGTGCAACATTGCGTGATTTATATATATAGATATGTAGGTACACACTTAGAAAAAATGATCTGGAAGACACACATTAAGTGTTAAAAATGACTCTTCCCAAGGGAGAAAGCTGAAGGACTTTCTCCTTTTCATTTTTAAATGCTCTAAGATTGCTTTTTAAGAGAGTATTACTTTTATAATTAATTAAAATTAATACAAGTGAAGAGAGACCTCATTGCAATAATGTAGCCCTGGGTCTTGGCCTTCAATGTAATGTGCAAATTGCTTGGAGAGTTTGCTGCAGGAAATAATTTCTTAGTGACTATGTGAATGGGGATATGAATATAACTGATTTGAAAGGTTAACACTCTGCATGAATCATGTAAATGCTACTTCATAATTTTCATCCTCCTTTACATATATTTCCATATGATTAATAAATTAACCTTCTATTTGCATGTTAATTTTATTTGCGCAGAGGTTGGGAATACTTCATTTTAATAATAATTCTGTGGTCACTGAACCATGCCTCCCAGAGGAGAAGGCTACAGGTTTTATCCTGAGGAAAAAAGAATTTTGAAAGAAAAATGTCTTATTTAAGGAAACCAAGATTATTGAAAGACTCAGTGTTTAGAGAGGTCTCATATGTGTGCAGTGCCTGCTTTTTTGGATCAATATTAGCTTCTCAATGAATGCTTGGAAGACACTGCCTTTCTTAATTTTTATGAAAATGTAAACATAGATGAGTTAAAGTTTACTTGGCTGTGTGTGTCAAGACCACTGGTGTCTGTATTAAAATTAGGATCTGAAATAAAGAACAGTTTTTTTGCAGAATCACTCCCACAGCTTCTATGTACTGAGGAGCGAAGCTTACTTCTAGAAAGTTCTAATTAGAATAGGAACAAACACAGCCCTACCAGTAGCTCACCAGGTAGACTTAAAAAAAGAAAGTAACTTGACAGTTTTCTAAAGTAAAGATGACAGAATCATAATATCTTCAAACTGGATGGATATCCTGTGTTGTACAGGACCTGGATCAACCCTCATTATTTTATAGATCAGCCAAAAGAAACTAAGATGCACAAATTTGCTGAGACTTTTGTACATAATACAATGTTTTTGCAGGTGTTTTTCTGAGGTATAATTTATACTCAGTGATTCTGCACATGCAGATAATCATTAATTGTTCTTGTAAAGATGGTAACAGCCCAGTCCCAGCCTCTGTCTCTGTCGTGCCTTGTTGTGAATGAGTACTAACTTAGCTCCTGTGAGTGGTAAACTCCATGTAGGACACTCTTCTCTCCAGACGGTGATGGCACATGGCTGCTATCTTTCTGCAGAAGAACTTAACGTGTTCCACGAACGAGGAGCATCCATCTCACATTGCCCCAATTCTAATTTGTCGTAAGTAGGCAATAATTGTTTGGTACCTTGTGAACGTTGGGGGTGCAGATTAGCAGCCAGATACCTCTGTTGTCTCAGTCCTTCCTTCAAGATCTTTCTTTTACAGCCATGTTTGATTGGGACAGGAAATAGGTAGACAGACGTTTACTTGTGCTGTGGTGGAAGAAAGGAGACCACTTAAGAGGACATCTTTTGCAGAGTATGCATTTTAGATTCTGAGATCTCTGAATTTGCACAAAAAACGGACAATAGGAAATGCAACAGAAAAAGTTTAAAACCAATAGCTTTCAGAATTTATAGCTAAAGGACTGAAAGAACCCATGTGCCAGCCAGGTGTTGCGGGAGAGTGTCCTGACTCCCATTACGGCTTGTGCTCTGGTGTTAGAACGAAGTACAGTAGTACCAGAAGTCAGTGCCTTGTGGTATATGTCACCCTGCTGGATCTGACAAGCCAAGAAGGACCTTGTCCTGTTATAATTCCCCCAAATACAAAAGCTTTATTCATAACTGGTTCTTAACCTTTTGAAAGGTTATGGATTCATAAGTGAATCAGATGAAAGTTATGGCCTGTATCTTCAGAAGGAAGCCCATAGACATTAAAATGTTGCATCTAATTTCAGGGAATTCATAGATCCCATGGTGCCAGTCCCTGGATGCTAGGTTAAAAACCTATGCTTGTACAAGTAATTTATTTGGGGCATGACCTCATAAAGCACCTTTAGGGGGAGGTAGGATGGGAAAGGGAAGGAAGTCAATAAAAAGTATATTATCAAGCAAGTTACCACTGTGGGCTCCTGGAGTTTAATCCTTCTAGAAAACTCAGGGAGCCAGTGTACAAAACAGATCTCAAAATTGTCTTGCCCAAAGAGTGAGGGAGCTGGGGTAGTTATATCCAAACTCTCATCAGTTATTGATGGGGCTTCTGGGTAGAGAAGAGCCTGGAACTTCTGGCTTTCCCCAGACAAGGGCAGAGCAGGCTCTAGCAGAGGAGAAAGCCCCTAGGCAAAGTGCTGGAGGTGTCAGTAGTTGGAAATCTGGGAACTTTGTGAGTGACAAAGGTATATGCCAGTGGTAGTATGGGAAAGGTACTGGGAGCCACAGTGTTATATTTCTGGAGTGTTTTGAATGGTTCCAGAGGCTTTGAGTTTTCAGATATAAAGTAATCACACGTGACAGAGAATCTTGCCCCTGTATAGCTTATAACTTATACATAATATAATTATATGTAATACCATATATAAAAAACAATAATTATAATTATATACATGATATAATTATGATCTAGTGACCGAATTGGGGAAGGATTTAACATCCCTTGGGTGAATTGCCCAACATCCTCTAAATTAAAACACAATCCAGCTTTGTAAATTGAGATTTGAAGTTACATTTCTTTAAGACACATTTCTTTTTTCTTTTTTATTTTTTAGGACACATTTCTGTTTAATGGTCACTGCTCTTCTTTCTCCAACAACTTTGAGAGATTTATTGTGTGTGCACTGGAGTTTTGGAAATTGTAATTATGTGCATCTTGAGCAGACCACTTTGACCTTTGCATCTTCTTGGATTGCTAAGGATCACTTTAGTTCTCCTTTGTCTCTTTAGAAAGGTGGCACATCTGTTAAGCTCAGGGTCAAGAGTTCTGGAATTCAGCACAGGAACCATCTCTCCTACTTGCTCCTGTCCTTGGAGGCAGCATGTGAACTGTCAGGCCCTGACTCACCAGCCTGTACCCCATTTTCCAGTTGTATTCCCCTTTCTTTGATCTTGCAAGTCACTACTCATGCAGGGTAACAAATTAGTTTAGACATAGAGAAAAGGGAATGTTTTATAATGTCTACTTCCTAACACAGAAAGGTAGGTTGGTTAAAAAAATATTAAAGACAGATGAGACTTTTGTACTAATTGCAAATTTTAATTTTTTTTTTTTTTCATACAAATTATCCCCTGCTTTTCCTTCTGGCTCTTGCTGCTTTGTACCCTCCTGAGACTAACCTCAACCCAAGGATTCTTTTATGATCCTGTCAACTCCAGGACCTGTTTGGTCTGATTCAATGTTTGTGACAGTGTTAGAGCTGATGTATAGGAAAACACAATTTTCAGTGATGTCGCCATCATTATTAGTGTCCTTCTTCTGTTGCAACCACATGGATCTCCTTGTTCTGACATCTTTTCTCTCTACAGGCTCAGCAGTGGCCTTCTAAATGTGCTAGAAGTCCTGAAACATGAAGTGAAGATAGGGCTGGGGACAGGTCAGTAGTTCACCATTTGAAGCTATGGTGAAGCAGCCGATTAGTATGTAAATTTCTTTTTTTTTTAGTATGTAAATTTCTAATGTGACTAATTTGCAGGTGATAGTTCTATATTTTTTTAAAATTCATTTTAATATCTGGTAATGATATCTTCATAATAAGTATCTAACAAAATAGTGAGGTTGGAAGCAGTAAGAAAATATATGCAAAGGGAGAAGTTTTGATGAAAACAACCTCCCAAAAGTCATTATCCTTGTTTCTTGTTTACAGATTAAGCTATAAAGGATAATTCCTTCTAAAGTATTTTAGAGATTCTTTTTTAAAAGTCCTTGATTTTTGTCTTGTCCTTCTGGCTGGGTTTTAATGGTTTGGGTTGTATGTTTTTAATTTTCAATAACTGTGTCATCACAAGTACCATCTCAAAAGAAAAGTAATTGTCCTTGGTATAGTGAACACAAATTCAATGTTGCCAGCACTGAGAACTCTGAGATACTCTGACTTTGCTTTTAAGCAGTGAGTAGCCAAATGAGACTCATCAATATCCACAAGCAGTCTGATGTTTACCAGACTAAGGGACATTCTAAGTGGTTGATGAATTAGTGATACCTCTTTTCTTAATGGTATATATTTTGTGTTTCCTGAGTGTGTGTGGCACTGCTCACTTTGAAAGTATAAGTTAGACCCAAATGTCTAAGTGTCTACTGTGAGCCTTCTTTTATCACTGTGTGTGAAAGTACTAAAAAAAAATTTTTTTAAATGGGCTTGGGGCACAAGGACTTATTTTCTGGTTTTGATGCATTTGTCTTTCTGATACTTAAGAGCATCACACTGTACAGATGTTGACATTAGTGGTTTTCATCACTTTCTGCAGTAACTCAAGTCTCAGTTTGTTACAATGAGACATTTTATACCAAGCAATTAATTGAAGCCATGATAATATAATGATTTTATTAATATTTTAAAAAGAGGTTTGTTAGAGTAGAGGTTTTTCTCTATTTTCTAGGAATCAAAGTAATCAAGATTTAAAAAATTCTAATTTCAGCTTTGAATCATTGAGACTATGGCAATGTTTGGGTATAGTTATAGGGGTTAAGTCAGGAAACTAGTTATTTTACCTTCACAGAAAAGCTTTAATGGATAAGAAAAAAATGGCCAAGAGTTTTTGTTATATACTGTAGTTAGTTAATATGAAACATTTAGCAGATATACAAAAATAAGGTAGGTATTACTTTCAGATTTTCTAGGATTTTTGTTTCCATGATTAAAGCTCATCATGTGACTTCCAGTTCTTGACTTTGGGTTGTATGGCAATGGCCTAAAGAGTTTAGGTGAAGTTCTAGCTGTCACTGTCTCTATAAAATCTTGAACAAATTAATTTTCTAAGGATTCATTTCTTGATTTCTACAATAGCAGAATTACAATATCTAGCTTACAAGCTTTCTTTTTGAGTATTAAATGAAAAAAAGTGTACACAGTGGTTAGTTAGCACAGTGCCTGGCACATAGCATGAATCAATAAAGATTGGCTAAAAAAACAAAGGGCAAGGTTGATGTATTGACCAAATGTTGATTAAATGTGCCCTAGTCCCTTACTTACTTGAAGAGTGCTGTTCCATTTGTACATAGTCTCTGTTGCAAAAGTCACCCTATGCTCCACTATTTCCTAAATATGACTTTTATGTATCAATTTGCCCTTCAGCTGTAGATCATTTAACCTCATATTATGGATAGAGAGCAGGTCCAAGGGCCATTCATTCACCCTGTCTATCACAAGTGTAGGCAGATCTTGAATTGCACAAGTATTAGGTAGGAGAAACCCACATGAAGCTTATGAAAAATATTGCAAAACAAGTGAAAGCAATATCTCAAAGAATAAGAATAGGAGCAAACATCTGAAAATGATCTAGAGGATCCAGAAGCAAATTTCAGAAAATTGCCATCATCCTTGGAGTATAAGAAGACATGGCACTATAAAAATGGTGATAGAGAAATTTTAAAAGTGAAAGAAGAAAATTGCAAACAAAATCAAAATAAAAAACATGTCGGCTCTCCTATATTGCTGAAAGGAGGAAGGTAAGTGGTACAACCACTTTAGAGAACTGTTTAGCAATTTCTTATAAAGTTAAAAATATACATCTACATGGCTGGGCGCGCGGTGGCTCACCCCTATAATCCTAGCACTTTGGGAGGCCGAGGCGGGCGGATTGCTCAAGGTCAGGAGTTCAAAACCAGCCTGAGCCTGAGCCGAGACCCCGTCTCTACTATAAATAGAAAGAAATTAATTGGCCAACTAATATATATATAGAAAAAATTAGCCGGGCATGGTGGTGCATGCCTGTAGTCCCAGGTACTCGGGAGGCTGAGGCAGGAGGATTGCCTGAGCCCAGGAGATTGAGGTTGCTGTGAGCTAGGCTGATGCCACGGCACTTATTCTAGCCTGGGCAACAAAAGCGAGAATCTGTTTCAAAAAAAAAAAGCAAAAAAAAAACATCTACATATGACCCGGCAATCTCACTCTTGGGTATTTACCGTAGAAAAATGAACACACAATGTCTGCAAAAAGAGTTGTATAAGAATGTTCATACCAGCTTTTGTTAAGTGAAAAAAGCTAGGCACAAAAAAGCACATACTGTATGATTCCATATGTAGGAAACTCAGGGACCAATAGAACTAACCCACGTTGATAGAAATCAGAAAGTGGTTGCCTGGGGTTGCAGGTAATAGAATTGACTAGAAAAGGCCATGAGGGAATTTGCTGGAGTGATGGAAATGTTTAGTATCTTGTTTTCTTGAAATGTAGTTAAAGCTACAATTGATCCTTGAACAACATGATTCTTAGAGGTGCTGACTTTCCCCTCCCCATCTCCTGTTCAGTTAAAAATCTGCATATAACTTTTGACTCCCCCAAAACTTAACTGCTGATAGCCTTCTGTTGACTGGGAGACATAAATAGTCTATTAACACATATTTTGTATGTTGTATATATTACATACTATATTCTTAGAACAAAGTTAAGCTGGAGAAAAGAAAATGTTAAGAAATTCATAAGGAAGAGAAAACATATTTCCTATACATTAAGTGGAAGTGGATCATAAAGGTCTTTTTCCTCATTATCTTCACACTGACTAGTCTGAAGAGGTGTTGTTCTTGCTGTCCTTGGAGTGGCAGGGGTGGTGTATAAGTGGACCCATGGGTTCAAACTCGTGCTGTTGCATATGTAATTGTTAACATTCATCAAACTGAATACCTAAGTTCTGTGCATTTTATAATATCTTAATTATACTTCAGTTAAAAAATGGCAAACCATGTAGGAAGCTATGAGAAGTAGAATTATTGTTGCAGAAAGTTAAGTCAGTGATGTGGAGAACAAAGTTGACAAGAGATCACAGAGGATGTTTGAGGATGATCTATGAGGAGGCCAGAAAGCATGGCGCCAACATGGGAGGTTTTTCTGAGGGAGGACCCAGAACAAATGGAACAGAAGCAATTGTCAGAGCTTTGAAGGGTTAAAGGCTTTCCTGAACTTAAGAAAGAATGGCCTTGAAAGTGCTTGTGCTACACTAAGTCATACCTGAACATGTCGTGGCAAAATATTTTAATGATAAGGAAAAAGAAAAAAAATCCAAAAATATTGATGCAGGGGGAAAAAAATCACTTATCAACAAAACAATTAAAAACCACTTGATTTTCAGATGTTTTTGTTGGCATGCGAAATACCAAAAGGCAAGAAAGAGTTTGGAGTCAGAGCAGTTGTTACTCAAGAATATTGTATCTGGTTAAATTCTCCTTCATGTGTGAAGGCAACAAAATTCTCAGATATACAAAGGCTTAGAAACTATTCTCCCTATGAACCCTTTGAAAAATATTACTTGAAAATCTACATTATCTACAATATGCACAATATTAAAAGCAATATTGGTTTTTTTTTTTTTTAAACTATCAGAGTGGCAACATAAATCAGGAAAGTGCTTCCCTCATGCTGGGAAGAGGTTCCTGGGACCAAAATACATGGCCCTTATTTTTGAAACTGCATGATGTCAGGTCCTTGAGTTTGAGTTTTATATTGTCTTTACATCATTTGAATGTCTTCAATATTTTACTGTAACATTTTAAAGTAATATATGCTCTGCAAAAAAGAATTTTCCAAGTATTAAAAATTCTTCTATCTTCTGATTTTTGTTAGACAGCCCAAGAAGATGTAGCTTATGTGTAAAGTTGAGAGGATAGAGATGAATTTGACAAGTGAGAGCACAATTATAAGTGTAGAAAACTCCTTGTCTTGGAAAAAAGGGAATTGCATATCATATTTTACTTTTGACTTTGGAATGTAAAAATATTAAAGATAGCTACTTGTAGGATTTTAAAAATAGGATACTTCCTAAATAAATTATGAAAAAATAAAAGTAAGAAAAACATAGCAAATTACCAAAAATGGTAGTCTAAAGGAAAAATTGTAAAGTATAGAACAAGTCGACATCAACAGGACCTGTGAATTGATTAAAACAAACAGCATACTTGGAGCCAGTGTCTCATTTTTTTCAGTGACAGTTCCCTGTCCTAACTTGTTTCATTAATTCTAAGTCACCAGTTCTTTGATCCCCTGTAGACACCAATCCAGTGATTCTGTGCTTTCTCAAAATCCATTATTCCTCCCTAATTTACCTATCTTAGATGCCAGAGTACATCACTTTAATTGTTCCTTTGGAAACATCCTAGCTTCTCATATCTCTCTCCTTTTCTTTGTATTCCTTTTGCAAGAGCCCAACTCTTAATTATCTCAATATTCCCTTCCCAGTGCCTGCAGCTGAGCGTCTGGAAGTTGCTGGAGAAAACCCTCCAGTGGGATTTCATTTTAAATTTCGCTCTCAAGTCCCACATGCCTCAGTACTGGCAAAAGAGGCAATCATGTTTCTCTTACAGGCATGTGTCGTCTTATACCAAGACAGCTTTTTCTCATTTCTTCCTAAACTTTCTACCCCAGCTCATATCTTCTTCACTTCTGGCTGGTGGCCTCTTCTCATAAGTCATTGAGAAAATAGAAACAGTTTCCTCAGTTTCCCTCCACCAAATTCTCACACCTTTCTGCATCTGCTGGCATTTTCTCTTCTTTTTCCTGCTACAGGAAAAAAAAAAAAAAAAAAGAAGGAAAGAAAAGAAAAGAATAAAAGGAAAGGAAAGAAAAGGAGTCCTTCCTCCAATCAAAGCGAAAATATCCTGAGATATATTCTGTATTCTCCCCCTCTCCCAGCATCTCAATTAATTCCTTTGCCCATGGACTGTCCTGTATCATCAGTATCTTCTTCTTACTGGATCATTTCTAGAAGCACATAAACATCTCTAGTATCTTCTGAAATTCTAAGCAAAGAACTAAACTAGTCTCTTAATCAGATATCCCTCTGTGGTTCCTGCCTCACCTGTCTGCTCCCCTTTGGTGAAGTTTCTTCAGAGAGTGGGTGCCCATACTGGCACCACTTTCTATGCTTTCTTCCATTCCTCCACCCATCTCAGTCTGGATTTTTGCCCCACCATCCATGGCAACTGCCTCTGTCCATTCTCCCATGGGTGTTACCATGGCGATGTCCGCCGCCAACTCCAAAGGACACCATTCCGTTCTCACCACTGGCAACTTCTCAGCAGTATTTGCTGTGGTTGCCTACTCTCTCCTTTGTCCAGATAATCTTATCTTGGATTCAGTGAAACAACTTTGTCCTGGTTTCCCTTCTTCCTCTCTTGCCAGCCCTTCTTGCTCTTCTTTGAAGGCCCATTCTCTTCTTCCTGGCAATTCAAAAGCATTCCCCAAGGCTCAGTCTTGGGCACCCTCCTCTTTTTACTTTACATGCATATTCTTCTTAGGAGATGCCATCCACAAGCATGGCTTCAGGTGACTACATATATGCAGGTGACTCACAGATTTTGGTATACAACCTCTACTCCTCCTGTGAATTTCAAATATGCATTTTCAACTGCCATCCCTTAGACCCCTCTCGAAGGAACCCCCAAACTTATATTAAAGTCCCAAACCACATTTAAGCCCTAGTTCTCTTAACTAGGTCTCCTTTTCAGAGAATTCTGTTTCTCTAACTAGAAACATAGTCTTATCTTTGGAACCCCCTTTCTACTCACCTCTTCCCCATGTCTCAGCCAGTACAATGTCTAACCATGTGACTCCTGAATATCTCCTGAAACCACCCTCTCTTCCCACACCGACCAGTATCGCCTGATGCAAGCTGCCGTGGTTTCTGGCCTGAACTACTGCACTAGCTTCCTAGTGGCCCTTATACCCATCCTGGGCCCTTCCAGTCCATTCTTCTCTTTTCAAAAGAATCACAGTGAAAATCTGATCACATCACCGTTCAGTGGGACTTTGAATGTGTAAGCCTGGCTGCAAGGCCCACGAAGCTCTGCAAGGCTTGACATCCACCACCCCAGCCTTACCTTGTACTACTCGTTCCTCCCTACACTGGCTATCTTTTAATCCTCTCTGTGTTTCACACTCCCTTCTACTGAAAATCCTATGTGCATTCTTTTCCTCTGTCTGGAATGCCCTTCATGCTTCTCTTTATGCGATTGGGTCTTCTCGTTCCCGTCTTAGTTTAATGTCATTGCCTTAAAGAGGTCTTCCCTGACCATCCTATCAAAATGGGCCATCCACCTCCATTTTCCCTACCACTAAACACAGTTTATCATTAATACGAGTCTGCTTATATGTTTCTTTTCTTTCTGCCCCACAAGATAGCTCATGTGGAGAACCCATAAGTTTTATTTACGAGTGCTTAGATAAATCAAGCTTATAGAAGGTGCTCAGTAAATGATGGTTGAATAAATGAATGAATCTGTAAGAAATGAATATACACACGTAAAATCATTTATTTTTATCTTTCTATTGTCCTCTGGCTTAAGTTTTTACTATTGAATGGTTTCTTCAGGGTCTTCTCATAAATAACAGTGTCCTTGTGTTGACTCTGAAAAGCAAGTGATGGAGTCATTTTTCATCATGATGGGGGGTGGGGGAGGGGTGGGAAGGGCAGTAGATTTTCTGAGAAAATGCTTCCATTTTCCTTCTCCCTCCACACCATTCCCACCCTTTGGTCCTCATTCTCTAACACTTATCATTAACACTTATCATTAATACATTGAATTTTCTCAGCAACTGTTAAGGTTGATGATGTCATTTCTATTTTCTGAGAAAATTGAGGTTCATAGGTGCTAAGTAACTGACCAAAGGCCCACAAAGCAAAAAAAATTCCGCATCCAGTTAAAACCAGGTCTGCAATATGTGGACGCTCCTTATTTCTCTTTCCACCCTACCACACTGCCTCTAGCTGTATGATAACAACATAGGATTTCCACCTACATTAAATGTGCTGTAGATGAAAGAGAAAAGCACTAAGCTCATCCATTAGAGCAAGCTTCAGCAAGTTACTCTCGTAATGGAAATCCCTGTAATAAAAGCTTGACTCTTATCCTAATGGTCTTGACTACATACCATGATTTGTGTAGCCCAGGGTTCATTCTTTGATCAGCACAGTGTTATACCTTATTTAGCAGTTGTTTTGTTATCATAACATTGTCAGCCAGAAGAATATAGGATGATAAAATCAAAAACATAATAAGGCATCTCTCAATTATTTACAGTAAATTGCATGGCATTTTCCCCCAATCCATTCTTATACTTTCTATAGGGTTAATTTTGAATAGGTGTTAAGGAAAATACTACTTTTCATGATATTTCATAAAACCTTTTTTTTTATATAACTATAGGTATTTTAAATCTTTTATGTTCACACCATCCTGACTGCATTGCTTTTGCTTTTCTATGCTTTTCTTATGCTTTTCTACTTCCAGTCTTTATCCACATATTATGAAATATTTTTTATCTTTACATGTTTCCATATCATACAGTGATAGTTTTTATTCTGCTTTTACATTTAATACTTTGTTTTAGCAGTAAAGAAGAAAGTGGCAGACAAAATATTTCAAAGTTTATTGTACATTTTTATTTCCAAATTGTATTTGCTTTCATAGCTATGATAAAAATGAAGGTTTAATGGTTGGTTAATTACACATTAACATAGACTAATAAATAGATGTAATAAAACTTTTTAGGGAGCTAGATGATCCTCTAGCAATACTGTTCTGGTTAAGGGAAAACATTGTCTAAAGAAGTTCCATTGAAGTTTACCCAAGGACATGTAAGGCAGTTGAACACAAAATTGAGCTGCAATCTAAAATTACTACTAAAGAGGCAATTACTTTTTATTTTGGCAGGAAATATAGATACTAACAATTATATGCATCTACCTAGAAATGACAGAAGGAACCCTTAAAATATGGGAAGTGTATTTTATAATAGCTATACATTTATTTTCCTTTAATAAAACATGATTACTTGGCATTTATTTATGCAAATTCATTTTAATAACTTCTACATTCATTCTTATCAAAGGTAGTAGTTTATTTAATTATGATTAGGGACTTTATTTAAATTACTAAAAATCTCATTCCTCATTTAATGATGGACCACCAAAATATAAAGCTGTCTACATCAGCATTGCTCACTTATTATACTCATTTCCCAAAATATGTAAGTTCATTCCAAAAGCTCTTCTTAAAAATTTTCATGAAGAAGTAGCGTTTTAATTTCCCAAAGTTCTCATTTGGATTAGAATAAGTTAAGATAAATGTATAACTATGTGGGCTTATATTTGGACAATTTCTATGAGAGTTCAAGGGATAGTCAGAGATAAGAGTTTCTTCTCTTGGCTTTATTAACCACTTGGGCATTGTAGTGGGTTGACTTGTAGCCCCCCCAAAAGATGTCTATCAGAACCTGTTAATGTGACCTTATTTGGAATAAAGGTCTTTGTAGATGTAATTAAGGTAAGGATCCTGAGATGAGACCATTCTGAAATATGGTGGGTTCTAAATCAGCGACCAGTATCCTTATAAGAGACAGAAAAGGAGAGACACATAACAGACACAGAGAGCAGAAGGCTATTTGAAGGTGGAGGCAGAGATTGGAGTTTTACTGCCACAGGCCAAGGAATCCTAGTAGCTGGAGGAAGCAAGGAAGGACTCTTCTTAGAGCTTTTGTGGGGGTCGTGGCCCCACCAGCACTTTGATTTCTTCTTTAAAACTAGGACACAAGAAATTTCTGCTGTTTTAAGCCAGAAGATGTGTGGTAATTTGTTGCAGCAGCAGTAGAAGACTAATACAGGTATATATTTGATACTAATTATAGGTTTTGAATTTCTTTAAATCTTAGTCTATGGCTATCCTGTTTGTGCAGATAGGAGCTTTTATTTAAAAGACTTGAATACTGAAGTCTTTGACTATATTATTCAAATATATTGAATATGTATTGAAGACAGAATATCTGTCACAAAAACCAATCTTAAATATCTATTATTCCATTTATCCTTATTAAGTTACTGTTTTGGCTTTATTTTATCTACCATAGATGTGGCTGGTGGTTATTCATATTCCATGCTTGATGCGATCAGAAGAGCAGTGATGGTTTCCAATATCTTTTTAATTAATAAGGTAAATGATAAAAGCCTCACCATCAAAGAAGTCTTCAGACTAGCTACTCTTGGAGGAAGCCAAGGTAATGACCATTTTATTTTTCTGTCAAACAATGTACAGCCATGCCGATCTAGGTCCTTGGATGTAACATGAAGGTGCATGACAGTGGTAACCGGAGAATCTAATATTCATGACTGTCATAATAATACCAAAAGCTTAGCTAGTAAAGTATATGTTCAAGCTTGCAGTGGGAGAATCATTTGTTCAATGAACTCACTGTCTTTGGAAGAATAGATTTTGATGAACAATTATCAAATTAATTGTTTTAATGGATATTATGTTAGTCACATGCATAAAATAATCCATTCTTCCATTTAGTCAAATAACTTGCTCTCTATTGGTCTGAGTGGTAGGCATAATAGTAAAATAATAGCCAAGACTTACTGAGCTCTTACCACGTGATAGGCACCATGCAACATACTTTATGTATGTTGTTTAATCCTCACAACTGCTGTTATTAATTCCACATTACAAATAAAGAATCTGAGTGAGGCTTACACAGCTATAAAGCTACAGTGTACTCTGATTCAAATCCAGAAAATCTGATGCCCAAGTATAGGTTCTTACCTTCCACCGTTCCACTATGATATCTTCTTATATAAATCCCTGCCTAGATTATGCATTTGGTTTATATACTTAAGTATACTCATTACTCAAACCTCTTTAAAATAATAAAGATGTAAAAATATAGTTGTTTGATATGCAAATACTGTTCATCAGCTTTTCCCAGTTCTCACATGTAACTATAATTTTGTGGAAAAAATAGAAATTGGTAATCGTGTTGCTTTAAGTCACTTTAGAATTATAGTGTAATCTGAATGGATGATAGTGAAAATAGGATAAAACCATAGATAGCTAGTGGGAAATTAAAATTTACACACACACACACACCCCACACACACGTAGATAGATAGATGTAGACTTACAACAGATACCTTGGGTCTTAGAAATGGAGGGTGATAGTGGCCAAGAGTATCCTGGCAAGAGAAACTTCCCAGCTCTTCCTTAAGTGTTCTGGGCCATGGTGAACACCATAAGGGACATAACAAAAAAAGCAAGTAGAGATTATGTTTTTACATTTCCCTAAGTCATATGGTTTCATCTTCTAAAATTCCAAGTTTTAAATCATCCATTCTTTTAATAAGTGTGATACCCCTTCATACACACCACCATTGTATTTTCATGTTGGAATTTGAGTTCAACTAGTTGTTCTTCCATCTATTTTCATGGTGCAGATGAGGTGTATTTAAAATAGTGCTTTTTAAATTCTAGGCTCTCTGTGAGTTGCTTCATCAGCATCCTGTTTCTGATCAAGCCAGCATGGAGTACCCACCAAATCATTTCCCTACTTTGCTGTGTAGCTTTTAAGTCTATTTTCTGGACCGCTTGGCTTACTTTTATGGGATTTCTTCTCCCTTAGCTCATGCCTCTACTACAGCGTGAGTGAAATAAGATGAACAGATTCCTGTGTAAAGTGTAGCGTTTCCCCAGCTCTGCCATGGCCATTATATTCACTTCCCAGAAGATCAAGACGTGTATAAATCATCTTCACAGGGCCAATATTTGCTCCAAAGGCAGCAAAGCTGCATTTCTTGACGTGCATTTGAGTTGCATACTAGCCCAGCTGGTCCTATCTGCAACAATTTGAATTTACATCAATTTATAAATTCACTGAAAGCAATTGTGTCTTTTTTGGTCTTCAAGTTCGAATGAATTGTCCAGTTAGTTTATATATTTCAGACCCTGGCAAATGTACCTGGTTATCTGGCCTATTAAACACATGACAATTTTATGTTGAATCCAATCATTAGAAACTCACACTCGTCATCCTTCTCGGTCAAGGGCAAAACGAAGTAGAGTGCAATCAGCGAAGGAGGAGAGAATTTCCACTGATATTCTATTACATACAGTTCTTTCCCACACAATTAGTAGAAGTTACCTAACTACTTTTAACGTTTCTATTTTCACACCCCTGTCTTTCAGTGAGTTTTTTAGCTAAAAAATCTTTTCTTTTCTGAGAATAAAAGAGTTGCCCTTTTAATAAACTCTTAAGAACAAATAAGATTTCTAAATCAGTGCTTAGAGAATTGCCAAGACTTCTGGACACATATGCATGGAAATATAATGTATCAGATTTTGCCTAATAGGAATAATTGATTAAATGTTTTCATATCAGACTATATCCTAATAGTGATAGAATGCAACGAACACATATAAAAATTGAAATAAATAACTCCAGTTAGCCTTCCTTTTGCATGTGTTTGCATTTGTGACCTCAGTGTACAGCTTGCTCAGATTCCAGACTTTAAGGAGCTTTTAGATTCAGTACTTTCCTTGAACAGGAAAGCCAATTACTCCCATCTTCTGAAAGTAAATCATAAAAATGAGCGATATTCTTCTGTGGCATCCAGTAATCATGGAGCATGAATTGTAGCTATGAGATGGGCCAAGTCAATAGCCGTTATTGATTTATACCCTTTTTTAGAAAACCATTCTTCTCTGGCAACCAGCAAACCTTTGAGGTTACAAAGAGATTGGTGTGCTTTCAAAAGTATGGGGACTTGCATTATGAAGTTCTGTTCAAGTGAGGTTTTTTTCTATTTAAAGGATTTAAACTACGAAATTTATGATGGATATGCCTGCATTGGCAAATATGCAAGAGGATAATTATTTTTTTATTTACCCAAAGCTCATCTTACATGAAAATAAATCTCGGCAGCTATTTCATGGAACAAAGCGAACAAAAAAAGGCAAGGCAAGGCGTTGGTGTTGCTAGGGGAAATAGGAGGGAGAAAGAAGAAAGGTATTATGTTAATCATCATGTTTCTTAGAGGGATAAATGAAAAGAAAAGCTGGGCTATGAAGTGCCCCAGTGGAGCCGAAATAGAGAGAAACCATCCGAATTATGATCGTGGTGACAAAGGGAACTGTTTTATTCTCAGATCTTGCTTTCCTGTGCTTACTCTACTTTCTATAAGCGGAAGTCTTGGTGGAATGAGAGCACTTTTCTGCCTCACTAAGATACTAATATTTTTTTCTAATGACTTGTTGGCAATGTTATCCCTCCAAACTGGGACATTAGCATGGTCTGATGGCTTCAAATACTGACAGTTTATTCACCTGTTCCCCTTTGTAGCCCTGGGGCTGGATAGTGAAATTGGAAACTTTGAAGTGGGAAAGGAATTTGATGCCCTTCTGATCAACCCCAAAGCATCCGACTCTCCCATTGACCTGTTTTATGGGGATTTTGTTGGTGATATTTCTGAGGTAAGTAGAAGAAAGCTAATCAAAAGGCATTTATTTCATGAAGTAGTCATAATAGCTTCCCTGTAGAAAAGAAAATAGAAATGGAAACATTTTAATAGAATGCAGGAGAATCTTAAAAGGGAAAGTAGATCCTTTTGATAATTATTACAATTTTGTAACAGCAATGTTAAGAATAATGATATTAAAAAAATGTTGTTTTGCATGTGTTTGTATATTTAAATATAATTGGCTATAAGCAACCATAACATAACTGACACTTCTTGAACACTTGCTATGTGCCTCACAGGCACATGATTAAGTATTTTCATATATAATTTTGTTTAATCATCAGAACGACTGTAAGAGAGGTAGGTACTATTACTATCGTCATGTTAATTTATAGGAGCAGTAAGGCTTAAGGGAGGCTGAGTGATTTGCCTAAGGACTCCTGGCTAGTGATTAGTGGCAGAGTTTGGATTGAAACCCAGGACTTTCTGACCATCAGAGGCTTTGGCCACTGTGCTATGTCAACTTTCTTAACTTTATAAGAAATTCAATTTTGTTCCTCTTATAAAATGTCTTTCTATGGATAAAATGAGCTAGTTCATCTTACTTTAATAGTAATTCTTTATAAGATATTGAACTTTTCTTGAAAAACAATAACTGTTGCCTTTGTAAATTGATCTTCTTGTGAGATAAACGTAATAATAAAGATATCATGTTGAAGTTCTTATAAGAAAAAATCTGGCTTATTTGAAGTTTGTACCATTTGTTATTGTTGGGGAGGAAAAATATCTTTTCCTCTACCCATCTTAGGTTCAAGGCTGAGGTCCCTGTAACAAGAGACAAATTAACAAGAGAAAAGCATACAAATTTCTTTAATATTAATTTTACATGACACAGGAGCTTTAGTAAGGAAATGAAGACCCAAAGAAACAGGTAAACATGGATATTTTTACGCTAGGTTTGACAAAGAGTGAAGAGTCCATGGAGAAATGAGACAGGGCAAAGGGAATATGATCTAATGGTAGTAAGCCACTTAGCAAGGCCTGTTTGTTGAGATTCTTCTCTGTGACCCTGTGTCTGCAGAGGGAAAGATGGCTTTTTCCTCCAGGTATAGGGAGGGTGCCTCTCCCATGAAGGTCTTCAGAGCTTTAGGGGAAGGTCAGAAAATCCTTCCGAGGTTTTATGACCTGCTTCAGGGAGAAGGGTGAGGGGAAGGTCAGAATGACCTTCTTCCTTTGATTTTGGGCAACATGTCTCAAACCCATCATTATTTTCATATTATTTATTCTTTTACTTTTGTATTAGAGTGAATTTCTGGGAGCCAGGGCTCAGTGCCACTCCTCTAGTCATTTTTGTTACATCATACACCTTTTGAAATATTTGAATTATTTCATTAAATTAATTTCTTTAATTTATTTGATAGGTTTTCTCTGATTTCAAGGTTATACACCAAGAACGTTCAGGCAATGGATAAATATTTGTTAATAGACAGTGAGTTATTTTGTTGTCTTAGGAGGTTTTTGGTTTATTTTTTTTTTTCTTTATTAGGCAAAAGCCCATTTCTTTCTTAATTAATAGAAGTAGATTTTGCCATTGAGACATAAATGTATATTTCTGGGCTTTTCCAGCCCCTATTGGCCATGAATTTACTTTTCTAAATGTATAAACTATTCTTTCTTATTCTTTATTTTCTATTTTAGGCCGTCATCCAGAAGTTCCTTTATCTAGGTAAGTGGATGTATGTCCCTAAGCTTAATAGAATCTCTACTCATGATTTTCTTGGGCATGGCTTTCTGTCTTTATCATCTCCTATATTAAATCCTATGTATAATCATTTGCTCTGGGTCATTATTTTTTGTTAACACTGCTCAGCATCAAGCCTATTTATGGCACAATATTTAAAGGAACTATTAATATTTGAAATGCACATGACTCTCTCCAGCTGCAAATTCTAAGCTGAGGAATGGAAGACCACAGGGGAAGAGATCTTTGTGTCCAATCCTCTTGCACTCCTTCTGTAGCCCGCAGCCTGCCCTACCATGTTGTTTTGTGTTAAATATGTAGTGGAGTCTTGCCACACACACTTGTGACGCACTCACACTCAGTTCTATTCCCTGAGAGAGAGAGAGACACTAAGCAATGCGGAAGATTCTGCTCTGCCTCCCCGTTCCATTGAGTGAGCTCAGTATGGAGTGAACTTGAGGTGAGAGAGACACGTGTGTTAGTTCTCCCATGCGTAGCTTCTGCAGCCCATTCCTGTCACCATGCTGACTGTGATTCCAGAGTGTAAAGATAACTGTCCCTTTTCCAGCTGGGGCTGGGATGCAAACCAGCCACTTCAAGCTGAAAGAACAGCTATAGTAGGGGTTGATTCCATTTTATGTGATTTCTGCCTTCAGCACAGAATTCAGACCCCGATCCTCAAATTAACCATGACGTCTTCTAGTGATCATGTCTTCCTGTCCAGATGATAAACAATCCCAGAGAGAGAAGGGCAGCTTTTTGTGTGTGTCCTCTCTTAGAAATGTCTTTTTTTTTTTTTTTAATCTCTCTCAGAGGCAATGACAAATTATTGACACAGAAGCATTTTGTAAATGATTGCTTGATTTTTCTTTCAGGAGACGACCGAAATATCGAGGAGGTTTATGTGGGCGGAAAGCAGGTGGTTCCATTTTCCAGTTCAGTGTAAGACCCTCGGGCAGCTGCGAAGTTCTCCTGGGATATGTGATTCTGCATCTCCCTTGCGCCCAGGTGGAGTTAGAAAGTGACAAAATAGTACCTTGTTCTTGGGATGACTATCTCTTTCTGTGTCTAGTTACAGTACTCACTTGACAAATTGTTTGGAGGAAGTTGCACTAATTCTCAACTCTGGTTGGCAGGGTTCGTAATTTCGTGAAAATGTCTCCCTTTTGAGCTGCTCAGATTTACTTTAAGCTCAAACAGAAGGGAACGTTATTGCTGGTGGTGGTTTTGTTATGAGATTTAAGTCAAATCTTTTTCATATTTGGAAATGTGGAAAGAAAAGATATTTCTATACGGTTAGGTATTTTGAGCTAATAAATGCGAAAATTAGAAAACTGAAAATGAACCAGTGAGTATATTTTTATGAGAGAACAAAAGTTAGTCTGTGCGCAAATGTTGGAAAATCACTTCAGAATGTGTTTGAAAATTATATACTGAGCATACTAATTTAAAAAGAGAATGTGTTGAATTTTAAAATGTGTTTCTGGATTGACCTTGTGTTTTGGAAATTTGCACTTAATGGAATTTGCACTTCAGAGATATGTTATTGTTGTGCTTGCCTTCCTTGGGGATGAATGTCAGAAATTGAATGCTACGTGCTTTCTTAATATAGTTTTGTGCTTCAAAGTGTTTGACAGAAGTTGGGTATTAAAGACTTAAGTCTCTTAGGAACATTATTCATATAACTACATGGCATAAATAGTTGTATTTTTGTGTACTTTAAAATCATCTTCATTTATAACTGTGTGATGTTATAATTGCTTCCATTTTATTAGAAGAGAAACAAATTCCACACTCCAGTGTTGTATAGGCTGGAGTCTTCATAAATTGGGGCAAGTACCGAGCATTTAGGAGCTGCTAATGCTAACAGGAAGGGTCCCATTACAATGGCCTAGTCTACCCAAACACTATGCCATAGTTGCTGGAAATTTCGTACTCAGATATCAATTTACTAGAATTTCAAAATGGAAGGATAAATCCTGTTAAGGAAATATTATGAAAAATCTTTAAACCTTGTATATTTAAAGCACTCTATTTTCTAATTTTATCCAGTTGTCTATTTCCTTATAATTTTCAGGACGTTAGAATTTTAGGATCATGCGAAATACATAGATACCCCACTTAATGTTTGTTGTATTAATAGGACTTAAGCTATATTAGACATCTAGGAATTAAAGCAAAGAATATTTTTATTTTTCCTGACTAATATAATATTGTTTCTCATAACCTAGAATTAAAACCAAATTATGGCCTTTTGATAAATCCTTAAGAAGTATCGATATGAATGTTACTTAAATCCTATATTTTTCTTATTTAATTCCAAATACTATAAACAAAGAAAAGGAATTGACTTTCTTAATATATTATTCCTAGAGCTTAGATGGGACTCCTTAATTTTACCTTATAGTAGAAGACTTTATACAATATAGCTAACTCCACATTTACAGAACTAGAACACAATTCTTCCTTCTGTAGTATTAATTTTATTTTCACATATTCATGCTAATTCAGCCCCAGTGTTTTGTTTTTGTGCCTGGTAGAAACACTTTTAGATGTGATTGTGTACACACTATATCTAAAGATAGAACAAAATTTTGGTCTTATATTTTTTAAAAAATAGCAGAATTTGTTTTGTGGGATATTAAGTAACTCAGTAAATCCAGTTTTCAGTCTCAGTCTGTATTTCCAGTATTTCTAATTCCTGAACCATGTCAAAGATGCCCTACCAAATTTCTCCCCATTTCTGTACAGTGCTAGCAGGCGTTTTCTGCTCTCTCTCTCTCTCAACCTCTGCCGAAGAAACTTGGCTACATTGCATCGTGTCCAACCAAATGAGTAGGCTTAGGACTTGAGATGAGATATGTAAGATCCTCTGATAGGCAGCAGTTGCTTTCAGCCTTTGCAAGACCCTACACTTTTACCTTCCTTAAGGGTGTATATTTTGATGTTGAACATCAGTTTTCATTTAGATTTAAGATTCACATGCAGTAAATATAAAGAAATACAGCATCACAAGCAGGAAGAATGGCCATATATAACCATTCTGTCAAATGTTAAATTTATCACCGGTGGTGTGTTAAAGGCCTGACTATCTTTTCTGGTAAAAGTAGAATGTGTTGAAATGTTTACATGTACTTTGATCTCTCTGTATCACTTAGAACTTATGTGTTTTATTTTTCCCCAAGTGCAGTGTTCTTGAATGTTACTAATTTTTTTCCAGTACCACAGGCATTAGCCATAACCATGGCCAGATTTTCTGCACTTTGAAATGTTGCCTTTGCCTGATGTAGTTTGACTTTCTCTGGAGAGTCACAATCCCAAGCCAATCCTATCTGTCACTTTGTGTTTGAATATTTTGCTCTCTGACAGGAAAGAAAGAATTAAAAAGTCTTACCTGCCTCCTCACCCCACCCTCCAACATTTGCCTCATGTTCTATGGCATTTTCAACCCAATACACTTTTAAAAGGTAAAAAAGTATTCGAAAACATCAACTATCATAATTTTACAAAATAGTTTTGCAACCAAAATGCAAAAGTAGGCTAATCAGCTAGGGTGAATTTCATTTTCAAGCAAGACGGAAACACGGGCAATAGAAGATTAGGACGGGAAGGTTGTCCTAAACTGGGACCCAGGAGACCACTTCCTTATTTATCGTCTCAGCTTCTTTTCTAGTTGAATTGTCAAAGGTTTTAGACTCCAAGCGGGTATCTTGGAACAAGCTTGTCTTCGTGCTAGAGGGAAGTCTTCCAGGTTAATGTGAGCATTGAATCCCACTGAATCTCTTTTTTACTTCAGTGAGAATTCTACCTGTTAAAGGAAAGAAAATGGTTGGAAACTCCCCGTTTTGCTTGGCGGACTTTGAAGTGTGCCCTTGAATATCCCCGTTGGCAACTGCAGCTGAGATCTTAGAAAGGAAACATAATGGGTGTGAGATCTAGCAATGTAATTTCAATCTTCACTCCCTACCAGCCTCTCCCTATTTTAAATCTTTTCACCTCAGAACCAGACATATGGAAAGCTTTCAAGGCAAGCTAGGAGGAGCAATGTATCCGCTCTACCTTGTGCTGTATGTGGGAGAGATCTTGGATGCTTCCAGAGCCTGCTGGACATCTTTTCATTGTTATCCATTTTTAAAGTTGAGGATGATGCAGGAAACAGTCACATGTTTTTATAAAAAGTGTTCTTAGTTATTAAAAGGTGGACTAAGATGTATGCCATGGGCAGTGACTTGAGATTATTTTCAAATTGTGTAGATTGTTATACATTTTTGAAGATTTTTTTTTTTTTAGGCTTAAAGATGATATTTACAATCCCAGACTTGTTAGCCACTTTGGGTATGACTGTGGACCTCACGCTTTCTAATGTCACTAAAGGAGAAGTATGGAGAGACGTGCACAGATGAAAGGAAAACCTCAACACGGGTCCCCATGCATGTTTTCATGTGTGGCCTCACCTCTCTTTTCCTCCCACAACCCTGAGTGCATGAGGTCGAGAGTTAGTTTGTGGATCTAGTCCAAATTTAGTGAAATGCAAACACCAATGGGGTCAATGATGAAATTAAATATAAATTTCAAGATCACTTTCATAGTCCACAGGGTGCAAGTGACTAGGGGCAGGTATTATTCTTAGCTCAGCTGATATGTGATGGTGAATTACTTGTCCATTTCCTACTCAAAAGCCTGTCAGAAAGCATTCTTTAGAGAAAACCACCTTACCTTGTTAAACTCCAGATTGCTGCCCTTAAGAATATATATGTATGTATTCATGGGGACATTTTTTTCTCAATATTTGTATGACTTGCTTATTGTTATTGTGCTAAGCGAGCTCCTTTGTGCTTCAGACAAAAATAAATGAGATTTTGTGTTTACGTTATTTTGTTGTTGTCGTGAGTTTTCTCTGTTTGGTTTTGTTGTGAATTCTGTCAATCTGCTAGAAGGGGGAATTAATCTTGCAATGTTTTTCTCCTTTTAGTGTGAATTTTAAGAAATTGAATAGAGGCCAGGCGAGGTGGCTCACGCCTGTAATCCTAGCTCTTGGGAGGCTGAGGCGGGCGGATTGCTCAAGGTCAGGAGTTCAAAACCAGCCTGAGCAAGAGCGAGACCCTGTCTCTACTATAAATAGAAATAAATTAATTGGCCAACTGATATATATATAAAAAATTAGCCGGGCATGGTGGCTCATGCCTGTAGTCCCAGCTACTTGGGAGGCTGAGGCAGAAGGATCGCTCGAGCCCAGGAGTTTGAGGTTGCTGTGAGCTAGGCTGATGCCACGGCACTCACTCTAGCCTGGGCAACAAAGTGAGACTCTGTCTCAAAAAAAAAAAAAAAAAAAGAAACTGAATAGAATATTTAGCTGTGGGCCAACATGTGTACCTTCCATCCTATGTTAGTTGTGATACCTAGCTTTTAAAATTTAAGGTATAATGTCCAGCCCTTTAGAATCAGATTGCTGTTGCTTTTGATTTCAGCATAGTGTATATTTCATATATTTTAAGCCACAACCCAGAGTGAGAAATGCACTCTATATCAAGAATCAGTTAGCACATACATATGTGTGTGTATATTTAAAACAAAAGTTTCACAGAATAATACTTTCTCTCACTGTGATGCCCTGAGCTGTTTTCTATACTATTTTATTCTATTTAATTTTTTTATGCTCATGGTAATTCTCCAGTTGGTTTCTTGAAACTCTAATGAATCAGCACCTGCAGTTAGGAAGCAGTGTTCCAGTACCTTCCGAGCTATGTTTGATTCTAAGCTTGGCCACTGCCTTGCTGCCTTACCTAAAGTCTACATGGCTCCATTTTCTCCTGTGATATGGGGATGACGTGAGTATCTGCCTTAGAGTCATGAAGGTTAAATAAAATGATACACAGCACTTAGCATCTGGGACATAGTGAGTGCTCACTATCTGGTAGTTGTTATCTTAAAAATAAGTACAGACTGAACAGAAATAAAAATAATTACAAAAATATTTTTATCAGTTTGTTTTTTAGAATCCAAGTCATGTGATATTAAGGATCCCCCAGTACACGAAACACTCTGTATCTTATTTTTTTCCAATATAATTATATGTTTATCATTTTTACTTTATAACATGGAACATGAACAGAGTAGTAGATTTGGTCTATAAATTCACTTCCAATGACTGAGTAACTTGTAGGACAAGTCCCTGGATGGCATTTGGTGACCCAGCTCTTCCCTACTTTCTCTTTTGTAGTTCTCGAAATAACTGTAGAACATGCTGGAAATGCAACATTTTGAGATAAGGAGGATTGGCCAGAACAGTTGGGGTTCTGTTCCTGTCCCTCCTAGCACAGGATGTCCTATAGTATGGTAGTCCCCCACATGCCAAGTATCTGCTAAGTATAAAACCCAGGGCACAGTGTGCTTTGAAGGCCTTGGCCACAGGCAGACTGGACTCCACCTGCCCTGGGCAGCTACCCCAACCCTGCAGGACCTGCTCACCACGAATCCTAAGCTTCTGTTGTGGTTTGGTGCCTCTCTGTGAGTAATAAAGTCGCTTCACTTAACTTGTGTGGTGGTTCTGTCTCACCAGACTTGTGCCAAGTGGTGGCAATCAAAGTCCAAGATGCAGTGGGCAAGGTGACCCTGCTTCACACAACTTACCAAGCACTTTTTTTTTCTCCTAAAGAGAGATTTAGCCAAAATACCCAGAAGAGAAATTTCATGTGCGTCATTTAGCAATAATACGCGTCCAGTTTGCACACTGTGGACATAGGATACTGCAATAGGTAATTCATAGACAGGTGTGAATTACTGTATGGTACTAAATTTAGGATTTAAATAAAATAAGATTTGGACATAAAATAAATACACGCCAGTAGCAAAACGGGACTTGTGGCAGGGCGTTTTAAGATTTCATGAGAAGGCCACTCAGTTGTTGGAACAGAACCAACAAGTAACTGTCACTCACCACTAGGGGCAGGTGTTTTGTTTTAATTTTCTTTTAAAATAAAAGAGAAGTGTTCTGTATCCTTTAAAGTGATAGGATAGCACTTTAAAGTGTAATGAGTATTTTTTTATTACTGATTCAGACTTAAAACGCCTTTTACATCCAACCCTGCCCCTAACCTACAGCATCATTGTAAAATTACATTGAATTTATCATATTTTTAAGATTTTTTATGCTTCTATAATAGTTGAGTCTCTATTTTGGAGGAGGAAGATAGATAGGGAGCTCAAAGCAGTATCTTTAGGGCAAAAACGTTGTTGGGAAGTTCTTCAGTCATAACTCGGAAAACAAATGCTTTTCTCCCCCAAAAAAGTGGTTAAAAAAAAAAGGAACAGATCTCATGTAATTTTGCAGACCACTTGGGCTCTCCCCTATCGCCTAGATTTTGCACGACCCTGCAGAGAGTAAGCAAACATCTGTTCCCTGTCTGCAGAAACAGAAGCCAAAATCATAAGCAGTGACATCAAATGAGAGAAATAAAGGCCCTAGGAAGATTGTCATTTGGTCAGATGACAAGACATTCTCATGTACTTGCTTGAAAACTGGAACTTGCAGCTTCACTATGAAATTAATTTCTGTCCTTTTAGTCTTGGCCAGTCTCCAAATCAGACTTTTGCTTAACTGCTCTCAAATAAAGCCTCAACTCATAAAGGAATAACCCAAAGAAGGGTTTTGTTCTTGTTTTTTTTTTTTTTTTTTAATTTGCTGTCCTAGGGCACTTGAGACACTTGAAACAGCGTTAGTGTTTTTGGTTTGTGTTTTTCTTCTACAAAAGTTGGTTCCATCCACACCTGAGCTAGGGTGCAAATGCAGGGTGGCTTTGTGCTCGTAAAACACTTTGAAAACCTTGACTGAAGCACATAAACAGATAAAAGCATGAGAGGCTTTTGTTATTTCAAAGGAAAATTAAGAGGCTCAGAAAAAAAAATCAGTGCACATACTTCTTTCAATTCATAAACACTTTCTTCTTAGCAGAACTATGAAAGATAAATTGCTCAAACCCTCCAGCATCATAAGCGTGTCCTGGCATAATGCAATGACAAGCTATCCATTCAATAAAACCCCATGGTAGTGACTCAGAAATATTGGGAGCAAGAGAGAAACTATGGGGTTTAGGTTGTTTATGTTTTGTTTAAGTTGAGTAATAGATTCTTTTATGTCAGCCAGGACAATTTGGCAATCTCTTATGGATAGATTATTTGTTGTAACTTAAAGGGGGGAAACTCATTATGTAGAAACTTATACAAAATCTTCATGTTCCTATAAAATTACTGCCCTAATTAAATAAGAAGTCAGTACAAATGAATATAAAATCTTCATTTAATGTCATTAGTGGTACTATCAATCATTTACCATGGCATAATTTAATCCAAAAGAAATTGTAATTAACCCACCAAGTTGCCCTGCAATGTACATGGCTGTTCTCTTAGGGTTTTTCATGTCTTGGTAAAATTTCATCCTTAAAAAATAATGAGTTGATTTTTTAAAATATAGAAATCCATACATAAAGAAAGCACAAAATAATGGCCTATTAAATCATATATCATTTACTACTCAAGAGGTTGGTAAATTTTATTTTATTTAATTTTTTTTTTTTTGAGACAGAGTCTCGCTTTGTTGCCCAGGTTAGAGTGAGTGCCATGGCATCAGCCTAGCTCACAGCAACCTCAAACTCCTGGCTCAAGCAATCCTCCTGCCTCAGCCTCCTGAGTGGCTGGGACTACAGGCATGCGCCTCCATGCCCGGCTAATTTTTTCTCTATATATTAGCTGGCCAATTAATTTCTTTCTATTTATAGTAGAGGTGGGGTCTTGCTCTTGCTCAGGCTGGTTTTGAACTCCTGACCTCGAGCAATCCGCCCTCCTTGGCCTCCCAGAGTGCTAGGATTACAGGCGTGAGCCACCGCGCCCGGACTGGTAAATTTTAAATAACATTCATTCAAGCAAAAATGTTGCTTGAAGAGCATACTAGATACCAGGCACAGGTCAGTTTTGAGGGTTGAAAACAACCTTCCTCTCTTCGAGGAACTCACGGTCTAAGATGGTTGGTGAGGAGGAATGTGCAGACAGGGCGACACATTAAGTTTACGCAGGGAGTCTAGAGAGTTAAGGGTGCTTAAAGCAGGTAACTGGAGGGCAATGGGTATACGTGGGCAAGGATCACAGGGGGCAAAGGATGGTGGTGAATATCTCCCAGAGGAAGTGACATCTGAGCTTGGAAGAAGAATAGGAATTTATTTTCCATGTGAAAACTCTCAAACAGGTATTCCAGGCAGAGCACTGAGCATGAGCAACAGCAGCTTGTCATAAAGACTTGATCTCGGCAAAAAGTAAGATAAGGTGGCTCACGCCTGTAATCCTAGCACTCTGGGGGGCAGAGGGGGGAGGATCGCTCGAGGTCAGGAGTTCGAGACCAACCTGAGCAAGGGCGAGACCCTGTCTCCACTAAAAATAGGAAGAAATTAGCCAAACAACTAAAAATATATAGAAAAAAATTAGCCAGGCATGGTGGTGCATGCCTGTAGTCCCAGCTTCTTGGGAGGCTGAGGCAGGAGGATCATTTGAGCACAGTAGTTTGAGGTGGCTGTGAGCTGTGAGGATGCCATGGGAGTCTAGCCAGGGCAACAGAGCGAGACTCTGTCTCGGGGAAAAAAAAAAAAAAAGAAACGGCTGTCACTTCATCAGTCACTTGTCCACTCCCCGCTGTCCCCCCAAAGCCTCCTAAGAGGCTCCGTCCTCTGCATCCAGAGGGGCACCATGGCCTTAACTGGAGCCTGCCAGGACCCAGACCAGCCTCTGCTGACGGCCTTCTTGTCTCCTCTGGCAAGAGTCCTGGGGATGAGTCAGGCGTGGCGGAGTCTGGGGTGAGATGCGAGGGACGTGAGATGTTTAAAGAAA